TAATTAATTTTTGGGAACTTGATACCTCAAAACAAAGATGCTGTGTATAGTAAATTTGCAGAATAAAATGAATACAATTCAATAACAATTTCCAACAATTTATAACAGCAAAGCTGATTACAAAGCTACATTCATAGTGGAAACACTCAGAGTGATCAATAAGATTATTAAAAAAAATAGTACAAAGATTGACATAATATGACTTCTTGCAGGAAAGTGGTGGTGTACATCTTTAATCCCAGCATTTGGGAGGCAGACACAGGCAGATCTCTGTGAGTTCAAAGACAGAGAAAGCCAAAACTCAAAAAAAAATTACATCAAAGCTATAACAATCGTGAATGTGAACAATATTTAAAATAAATATTTAGAAAAACAGAATACTTAAATTCTACTTTGTGTTATAAGTGAGCTCTCTGACGAGAGCATCAATTCCCAAATCAAAACAATCCAAATTAAGAAATATCCAGGTTTAATGGAAGATCAAAGCTCTAAGGTGGCCTCAAGGGTAAAACTGGGAAGCTGCAGGACCGCAACCCCCAGTAAGAAGAAAGGGAGACCACTCCCAGGCAGGCCACAGGCTTCTCACCGCCTCGTGGGCCGCACGCACTTGCTGAGCCCTGTCTCCCTGTCCAGCTGGCTTCTGAGCTCGCGCCCCCCCCCCCCCCCCCCCCCCAGCGCCAGCCTCCTCCGCCTCCGCTCTTCCCAACACAGCCGCCTCCACCAACCACGTGGCCTAAGTCCATTTCAGAGCATCCTCCAAAGTGGCTCTTAGGTCAAAAAGGGGTCGCGAAGATTGAATGACCAGCCTCCCGATACAAACGGATCTCTGCCTCAGCCAACCCCAATCCCGCAGGATTGACCGCACCTGACTAGAATTCCCAGCGTGAGCTCAAAACTTCAAATGGAAATCCGAAAACCACAAAAATAAGTACGAATGGGTCCCCCGAAACCCTATAGCATAGACAAGAAAAGGAACTCACCAAGACGCAGCCGCTGAAGCCCAGAAGCCCAGAAGCATGGCATAGAGAGCTCCACCTGCAGACTAGGGGCCTTTCAACACTAGGCCTGCCACGTGGAAAGGACCCTGACCTAGCTCAGTGGAAGCCTCCAAATGTTAGGAATATTTCCTAAGCGAGCTCTCTGATGACACAAAAATTCCCAATCAAGCCAAATCAAAACACGCCAAATTAAGAAATATCCAGGTTTAATGGGAGATCTGCGCTCTCCGGTGGCCCCCAGGGGAAAACGGGAAGCCGCAGGAACGTGAACCACAGGAGGAAGAAAGGGAGACCACGTTTCTCTTTTGGGGGATGAATTAAGTACCGTGGGGGTGGGGTCTTGACACCACCCCCAGGGAGGGGTCAGGACCTGGCATGCTGGGATTTGAAGTCCAGACCGGGCCTGGTGGCTGGGATAGATGTGAAGGACTGGGGCCTAAGCTTGCAGCCTAAAACTTTATGTGTCCTTGTCTTGTAGTCAGAGTGATGAATAACTTAAATATCACCAAAGGACATTCATCCAGCAACTGATGGAAGCAGAGGCAGAGACACACATCACAGCTCTGGACTAATCTTTCAAAGTACAGTTGAAGAGTGGAAGGAGTGAGAATATGAGCAAAGAGGTCAAGACCATGAAACAGTTTAACTGAGCTAATGGGAGCTCACCAACACCAGTCAGACTGGGAAGGAACCAGCATAGGTCCAAACTATTCCCTTGGAATGTGGTTGACAGTGATATGGCTGGGGAAGACTGATGGGCCACTGGCACTGGCACCAGGATTTATCTCTACTGCTTGTACTGGCTTTTTGGGAAACTATTCTCTTTGGATGGATACCTTGTTCAGCCTAGATATAGTAGAGAGGGCCTTGGACCTTCCACAAAGCCTTACCTTCTCTAAGGAATGGATGGGTGGATGCTTGTCTGTTACCAAGTGCTCAGACCTGAAATAATAACACAGAAACCATATTATTTGCAATGGCGTTTTGTAACATGAAGGGCCAACGTTAAAACAATTCAAAGAGAGCATAATAACATACAGTATCAAGATTCTCTGTGTATTTTCCATTTTATGTGGCTTTAATTAAAATTTATTTCTTTTATTCTTACTTTTTCTTTTTGAGACAGGTTCTCTGTACATCTTCGCCCAGGAATAACTCTGTAGACCAGGCTGTCCTTGAACTCAAAGAGATCTGCCTGAACAGTGCTGAGATTAAAGGTGTGTGCTACCACACCCCGAACTCACAGAGATTCATCTGTCCTTGCCTCCCAGGCATTGGGATTAAAGGTGTGTCCTGCCACACCTTGAAGTCACAGAGGTCAATCTACCTCTGCCCCTTGAAGTCACACAGATCAAACTACTTCTGGCGATGCAAAATTTCCCAATAAAGTCAAATCAAAACAATCCAAATTAAGAAAATCCAGGTTTAATGGGAGATCTGTGATCTCAGGTGGCCTCAAGGGGAAAACCTGGAAGCTGCAGGAATGCAACCCCAGGGAAGAAGGGGGAGACCACGCGTTTCTCTTTTGGGGGATGAATTAAGTACCCGGGGGAGGGGTCCCAACCCCACCCCCAGGGAAGGGTCAGGACCTGGCATTCTGGGATTTGAAGTCCAGACCAGGCCTGGTGGCTGGGATAGATGTGAAGGACTGGGGCCTAAGCTCACAGCCTAACACTTTGTGTGACTTAATGTCTCCTAAGAACTGGTAAATCCTTATACCATTAATTCTATTATCAATTCTACTCTCCTACATCACAGTTTAGCAGCGGGGTGCTACTCTACACAGGAGAAACCTTTTACAAGCCACACAAAATTAACTACAGACGAATCCTAAACCTAAATGTTAAAAGTGCAGAACTTCTGAAGACCCAGGAGAGACCACAAGTCTCCGAGTTTGGCATATTTGGTGATATCTCCACATGCAAAAATATAAGCACTATAGGCACCATCATTTGCGACTCCCAAAGCTCTGCTCTGTGCAGACACAGCCCAGGCAGTGAAGTTATTCAGAGGCTGCCAGCAGGGAGTTGCAAGGATCACTTAGAACTACTTAAGATGAGGCAGGAAGAGGCAGCAACACACTAAACTCTGTTTGTCCACTGGCTCCCACCCAGCCAGCAGAGGACACACCACACCAGACGCGAGCCTCAGCAGGCCGCTCCACCTAGTTTGGGAACAGCGGCCCCTCACCCGCCAAACCCAGCCACTCCTCCACACGTGGGGACTTTAGCCCCTTACTCACCTTGGCACACCGCTCCTCCTGTCTGTGGAGAGCAACCCCTCACTCACCACGGTGCAGCTGCCAAGCTCAAATGCTCTCTCCCAACAAGGGAGACCAAGGCGCAGAGGAGGAGAGAAACGATGATTTCTTCAGGAAAAGCTAAACTGGAAGCCTGGCTCCTGGAAGAACCCTCCCATTTGACTGGTGGGTCTGCTAGGGGCTCTGATTGGCTAGTGAGGTCTGAGTGACAGAACCAGGTGAGCAAAAGGTTCACAGCACAGCATTCCCAGCACTGGCTGCTAATTATAATTCTAAATCAAGTCTCTTGCTAATGTAAATCGGTTTTAAAAGGAAGTATACAAATTCAGAAAGAGGAAATCAGACAATGTTGCACAAGAAATACACTGGGTAACTCAAGTACATTATAAACAAAGTCCTCAGTGGTGTTGGGATGGATAACCAGTTTTCACCCTTCTGTGAAAAAGTCCTGGTTTCTGAGAATCTGAAACAACCCTTTTCCAAAGGCCCTGGCCCCACATCTTTACCAGCTCTCCCAAGTGTATTCCCAAGAGCTCTGTTATTGCTCTATACATCAGGGCCTTAGGGAAACCTCCCAAAGCCTAGGCAGATTGCCAAAGTCAGAGATGTGATAACACAGAATTAAAAGAAAACTTATAAATCTACAGAATATTGACAGAATAACTCAACTACTTTTTATAAAACATTTCATGAGATGAGGGAATAATTTCTTGTTTAAGATACTGGTCCTATCTTTGGGCAGTTCTGCCTTTGTTCTAGATCTATCTAATATGACGCTGCAGTGAAAATAACATCAAATACTTCTTCACTGGTTATCCCTTCAGATCTTTGCTGAAATTTCATGGCTCTGGATCCCATGTGCATTTCCTGTAGATAAATATTCTTCCAGTATTTCAGAGTTGCTTCTTGAAAAAAAGCCTACAACTTTAAATGTGTATTTGTAAAGCATAAAGTCTTATAGATATGGTCTGACTGTGTCAGGGTAAAACAGAACTAATGTTTGCCTTATTCAGAATATTACCATTTTAGTCACCATATAAACACTACTTTAGACCAATAGTTGAATGATTTGTGATAGCTAAAACATGGGATGAGGAAATGATAGGCTGCAAATAGCGTCCAAGGTTTTAAACTTAAGAGTTTAGCATCCTTTTGATGGGTCAGTGGTGGTACATGTCTTTAATCCCAGCATTAAGGAAACAAAAACTGTAGATCTCTGAGGCCAGCCTGGTTTACAGAGTGAGTCCCAAGACAGTCGGGACTACAGGGAAAAACACTGTTTATAAAACAAAAAAAAAGAAAGAAAACATCTTTTTCCTGGATCCCAATTGAAGCGTTATTAAGACAAAACATCTTTTTTCCTGGATCCCAATGGAAGAGTTAATGAAACAAAATGTCTTGAGATTAAGTGGATCTAGTATAAATCCATATATATATGTGTGTGTGTGTGTGTGTGTGTGTGTGTGTGTGTATTCTATAAATTCTATAGGAGGAGAAAATATTACTGTTCCTAGGCATATCTCAGTCCCTCTACAATGCATGATAAATAACTCCTTTATTCCATCGGCCTGCAAGTCTGTGTGTCTATTTCAAAATAGCCAGTATGGTTCCTGTTTCAGCACAATACAGTCACACCCCTTATGCAAAATAAGATATACCAGATTAGAACCTAGTATCTGCAGATTAGCACCCGGAATCTCACCAGCACAGACACTGCACTGAGCAAGTCTTTCATTCTCAACATGCTTGACCTGGACTCCTGGCCTCACACTCCTCACGGTGTCCTGCTGCTGACCCTACTGCTGGGACTTCCAGGTGAGCATGCTCAGGAGTACAACAATATCTCCTGTGTAAAGGGGAAAGTATTGACTCAGGACACCCAAGGTCCAGTTCTCAGGACAAAGATTTATTTACCCCAGAGGGACAGAGGGTAGGGATAAGGGACAATGACAGGAAGCAGAGAAAGAGGGGAATAGAACCATGGAAAGGGAGCTGGAATATTTGTCCTGGAGGGACAAAGTACTGCCTCTGGATAGAGAGGAGACAGATGTGGCACATAGGAAAATGTCATTTTATAAAGGAAAAATAGGAAACCCCGTGTTAGAAAGAGGTGCTTAATTGGGCATGTTAATTGGGTGAGCCCAAGAAGGCTTTTGATTGCTGGATTTTAATACATTGATAACAGAACGTTGGCAGTCAGCCTCAGGAAAAGGGATTGTCAAAATACTGGAACAGACCTTAGGGGACTAGCTTCAGGAATGTAATCTGATGGTTATTAGCACAGCAGAAAGAACTGGGGAGAAGGTCAATGTCTGTTAGAGCCACATGCTCCAGTGGGCTAGTGTCCCCTTCACTATGAATAGAACTGAAGGGTTCCAGGTGAACAACAGAACATTGTTCATTTTCTAGAGGCAGTGTCTGGAGTACTGCTCTGTGAGTCCATGGGTTGCCACAGGTGACCAGAAACATTCTATCTGGAAATCCTTAAAAAATAATAATTAAATTTTTCTAATACTATAGCTGACAAATTTACTTTAGTAGAATCCCATTTAAATCCATGTAACTCTGACCCCTTCAGAGACAGCATGTCAGTTCCAAAGCAGTTGATGGCCTGTCTCCACCCTCGACTCACTTCCTGAGCCAAGGGTGGTGACATGGCTAGAGGGAAGTGTCTCTGGCAGTGCTCAGCCATCATCATCCTTCTCACTAAGTTTCCTCATTCTGTCCCCCAGTTCCTTCCTCGTGTGACCACAAACTTCTCACCGAGTGCTGCTGTCTTACTAGTGCTTGTTTTATTGGTAGGGTTGCCACAGCATTGTACCACAGACTGGCTATCAATACAATCAATAGTCATTCATTTTGGCACAGTTCTGGAGGCTGGAAACCCAGGGTCAAGATGACCACCAAGATACTTTTTTCCGTGATGCCTCTCCTATTGTGAATCGTACCTTCTCCTTCTCTCCACACAGGATCTCACTTCAGACTGTCTCTGTAGATCTTTTGTTTCTTGAAATGAAAGCAGTCACATTGGGTTAAGATCCACCTTAATTGACTTTTACTCCTTTAAAGACCCTGTTTCAAATATAGTCACATTATGAGGTACTGGTCTATGACTTTGCTATGTAGAGTGTAAGCAATTCATCTATACCAGGTACTCACACATCCCTGATCTTGTTGATATTCTCCAGGGAGCTTTGTTTCCCTTCATCAATAAGAATTATTGGCACTCTGAGTGGTCCCTGCCATGATTCTCAAAGGTTGTTTGTCCTCAGTTTCTTCTTTGTCCGTTTGAAAAACTTGATGACTTCAGGTCAGGGCTTATCAGCCCTCAGGCTCCCCACTTTGGTTAGGGGAGCTATTGTGTCATCTGATAATAGAAGTCAAGCTTTTAATCTGTCCTCACTGTACTCTCGCTGCATCTGATACTAGCAATGATTGATAAGACCTTCTGGAGATTTTAGCACTTTCTGAAAATTTTGTTTTTTATTTTCTCAAATTAATATATAATTACATCTTTTTTCCCTAGTCCCATTCTCTTATTCATTGACTCTGTTTCTTTAACTGTTCTCACTTTCTCTTTCTCCCTCACTCTCTTTATATGAATATCTCCTCTGTATCTCTGTTTTTGTCTCTCTTTCAAACACACACATTCCTAAATATATAAAAACAATTTGCTCAGTCTATATACTGTTACAGCAACAAGGACAACACCAATACACATGATAGCATTAAAGGAGAATATTTTTCACTGAGAGACATTGTGTGTCCTTGCTCTGTCTTTATATTCACATTTCAGCCTTGCTTGCGTTATTCCTGTCTCCATACCATAATCATCTGTTTTCCTACAGTCTCCAATGCAATAAAATAGCCAGCAGACTGAAATTTCTAAAATGTGATATTTAGTACAACTTTGGCTTTTATTGGCTAATTTATCTTAGGAATTTACTTCAGTATTGTGAAGTTGTCTAGTACAAATGTCATACTTGGAGTATGAAATATACCCAAAAATTCGTGTATTAAAGCCTTTGTTCCCAGCTGATGGAACTACTGTGAGAGATGATTGGGTGTTAGAAGGTCAGGTGGACATGAGCCCCATTATACTCTGTCTTCGTGAGGAGGTTCTGCCTCCCCTGAGACCACAGCAAAGGAGACAGTCAGCACTGTGATCCCTGAACTCTCTGAAACAGAGACAGATGTAATATTATTTCCTTGCATCCTCCAATATTTTTCAAATCAATAGAAATATAGTTTAGCAAGCCATAACTATCACCAGATGTACATCTATACCTAGAGCTAGATGCAGCTCCATAATCTGGACCAAGCTCCATGACACCATGCAGATACCCAGTGTCAGTGAACGATCCATGACCCAGAAAATTATCTGAGGAATTACTTTTCAATGTCGTGTTCGTGAGCACTCGCCATGTCCCAACTACTGTATAATGTACTTCACTGTTCTACCTCATGTGGGCCTACATGTCAGGTTAATGCTCGTGTCACACTGCCACAGCACAGAAGAAGAAGCACAAACATCCCTGACGGCAATGTCTAGAGCTGTGGTTTGAATTCAGGCTGATTGACTGAGGTCATAGGATTAGCAATCACTCCTCCCAGAGACTTTCTTCTATCCCATGAGCTTTAGCTAGTGAAATGGGCACAGGGTCTGTGGGTTTCTGCACCTGTTCTCTTCAGCTTCCTCCTTACATACAAACAGTTTTTATTTGAAAATGTCATTCACATGGGAAACAAGGTTTCTATTTCTACATCAATCAGCAATTTCAAATGGGTGTGAGTCACATGGGAAGATGCACACTGAGCAAATCACATATACAGGAGAATTTGTTGAGTCCTGACTATGAAGTAGAGACTGTGGACAAAACGGATCCACTATCCTTCACTTTTACTATTGTGTAAAGTGCTCTTTTCTTTGCTGAAACAATTTTCTCCTGCATCCCGTGGCACTTGACAGGCTTTAGTGTGGGTGTTGTTGCTGTTCCCCTGGATATATTGAATATTGAGGCTGCAACCCTTATGGTAGTGTTCTGGGATTTCTGTGGACTCACGGATGAGGGTGTAAAGGACTCTACCTTCCACAACCCTAACTGGGTGAAGTCAGAAACTCTTTCCTTGCATAGATAGTACACAGTTACAGCAGCCTGGACTCTAGATAAGGGACAAAGAAAAAGGATGGAGTTTCTCCCAAGCAAAGCTTCTGTGCAGACTTCAGTTCTCCCTAAATCTGCTAAAGCTGGAAAGGACTGGATGCTTCTACTAGCTGTGATCATCTTCATCCATGCAAACAAAATTTGATGAGATTCTCAAATCCACTCTTCAAAGCAGATTTCACAGATGTCATGATAATTAGTTCAGTTTTCTGTTCTTTCCTCCCAGAAACACAAGGTCCTAGCACTCACTTGATGACTTCCTTCTCTCCTCTCTCTCTCTCTCTCTCTCTCTCTCTCTCTCTTTCTCTCTCTTTTTTTTTCTCTCTCTCTCATAGTTGGTTGGCTCAAGGAGCAGCTGGCTACTGCTTTAGTTCTTTGTGAAAGATGAGGTGGGTCCTGGGCATAGGACATTGAGTGTAAATCTCCCTATATTTACCATTTTACTTTTATAGAATCAAACTACTTTTTAAATTACAAAGACATTATTTCATTTTAGTTTTTATTAAATATGTTAGAGCATCATTGATAATAAGAAATGTTGCAGTGGAATGGCTACTACTCATGTGTCGTGTTTAAGCATGTCTATTGGAAAAGCAAGCCATACATACTGCTTCTATACTTTTGGTTTCATCTCTGTCTCTACATTTTAGGTCCCATTCATCAATAAATTTTTAAGTTACAACTTTTTTTAAAATACAATACTACATCAGTCCACGAAGTTTTGAGAGTTGCTACATTTTTCAAATTCTGGACTTAACCTAAAAAACTAAATAGGTCTTTTTAATCTTTATGATTTTTCTATATTTTTTTTAAAAAATTGGTCTAGGATTGTAGGATTTCTAGTTCAACAAATTATGGAACTTTGAGAAAATTATTTATTTAATTTTGCATAGAGCTATGCCAAAATGTAAATTATTGTATAGGCTCATATGGTCTACCCCATTCCCATTATTTTTTTCCATATTTGATTTTTAATTAGTAAGTATTCTAAGACTATCAACATGCTTGCTAGATTTGTTATTACTCACTACTCAAGTTTTAATTTCACAAAGTTGCCCTTTGCTTTCGGCTTCAGTTATCAAGGGAAGCAGATTTTCCACATCAGACATTCTTGTTTGAGACCTAGCAGTGTCTCCCACCCTTCCTAGCAGCTCCAGGTATATGGCCTTCCCTCAGGCTATTAATGAGAACCACAAGGTAGAAGATTAGAGTCATCATCTTCAAAAAGCCTAAGTAGAAGTTGGGAGCTCGGGATGCTTTATGAGATTTTAAAATTCAGAGTACACTCAGAGTTGTATTGTCTTCTAAACTAGCCCTTATTCTCTGAGATTCTTTATTTCAACACAAGGGAAACCCATTAGCATTTCCTGAAGGACAGGTATTGATATCTCCAAACAGGAATCATTGTAATAATCTCAGATTTTTAACTACAAAGCCTGTTTTCTCGCTTGTGTTGGTCACATGGTGTTACACTGTGTGGAATCTTGGGTTTTATTTAAATTCTGGATGTGTTTTCTCTTTTAGAACTGTGAGTACATACATTGTCTCATGGCCTCCTGGATGCTAACACTTCTGATAAGAGCTGTGATCCTATCATTTAGCAGGACAAGATGAGTCATGCTCCATCCAGACAGCACTCAGCATTCTCTTTCTACTCTGCTTTTGTCTGTTGGATTCTAGCATATGCTGGTGTGTGTCTCTGAGTTTATTTCATGCTGAATTAGATCAGTTGTTGGATTTATAGTTCTTTTTTTTTTTTTTTTTTTTTTTTTTTTGGTTTTTCGAGACAGGGTTTCTCTGGAGCTTTGGAGCCTGTCCTGGAACTAGCTCTTTTACACCAGGTTGGTCTTGAACTCACAGAGATCCGCCTGCCTCTACCTCCCGAGTGCTGGAATTAAAGGTGTGCGCCACCACTGCCCGGCGGATTTATAGTTCTTATATTTTAATAAACCAGGAAAGTTTTAGACAGCAGTTGTTTTCCAATAATCTTGTCACTACACTCCAAATACATAAATTTTTTCTCTCTATTGTACCTCTGCCCCTGCAGTGCTGCCTAAGTAATGTTATGGTACACATTTCCATGATTTTAGATGTTTTTTGTAACCTGCTAAATCCTCTGAGGACCCTGTCCATTGGAATAATAAATTTTATATCCCTCAACTTCTCAATATCATTTGGTTCCTTCTCATAGTTTCTCTCAGTTTGGTGTTATATTTTGCAATTCAGACTCTTCACTTTCTTTAGAACTGTTCCTTACTTTCTTTTTGATCTTTTCATATCTCAAATGAATGTTGCACAGTCTTGGTCCAGTAGGATAGGACAGTGCAGTACAATGCAGTGCTACAAGATCACCAAGTTCAGGCAAGAAGGAAACAGATGTGTCGGCTATGGGACTTAGAATAACTGGGTAAATAGGATGCTGTGATGAGAAAACAGGCGACAAGAGAAAGTGATCCCAGGTGACCACATCATGTGCAAGGGAACAAACAGGGCCTCCAGGAGGGTGGGGCACTGTGACCCCTTGGTAGCTGCCATGTCGCACCAAACTAGAACTTCTGACTTCCAAAGCATGAAATAAAACGTTTCTGTTGTGTCAAACCATTATCTTTGTAGGAATCTGTTACGTCATCCTTGATGTTAATATAATGTTGGGGCTAGAGGGAGATGGTTTGGGGTTTAAGACCACTTGCAATTCTTCCATGGGACCCAGGTTTCAGTCTGAGCACCCACATGGTGACTTATAACTAATATAACTTCAGTTCCAAGGTCTGTGTCAACAAACTGGGAACTTAAAATAGGGTTTTATTTGTCTAATTAATTTGTATGTTATTGCATGTTGGGAAATATCTATGGCATTATCACAACACCTGGTAAAGCAACCCCCTGACTTGGGAGTCTGACCTAGAATCTGGTAATCAAAGGTACATCTCAAAAACTATACCTCACACTTAATACTTACATCACTGGTCTCAAAGAGTCAGGTAATCACATCCAGTATTATTATATCCAAAGTACAACATGCCATGTGCACAGAAAATGAAAACCAAGCTGATACTGGCATGAGAAGTTCAAACAGAATTGGGGTTTCGTGAAAATATTGCCAAAGACTCTGTCTCTGAGACTCATTTCCTAATTTCTTACATTTGTTTGCTAAGAGGCCCAAGTGAGGGAAAATGATATCACCTCATACTGAGGTCTAGTTTATAGCATTATTTGATGACAAACTAGAGAGGCTGTGGGTTTCCATCATGATGAGTACTAACTGAAGTCTCCTGCAGGAACAGCTACACGGGACCTGAAGGTGATTCAGCCTGAGAAATCAGTTTCTGTCCTTGCTGGAGAGTCAGCCACTCTGAACTGCACTGTGACATGGCAGCTACCTGTGGGACCCATTATGTGGTTCAGGGGCACAGGACAGAGTCGACAACTAATATATAACTTCAAAGGAGAGAAGTTTCCCAGAGTCACAAATATTACAGATTTCACAAAGAGAAACAACCTGGACTTTTCCATCCGCATCAGTAATGTCACAATTGATGATGCTGGTACCTACTACTGTGTGAAGTTCCAGAAAGCAGACTCTGACAGAGAGTTTTTGTCTGGGGGAGGCACAGTGCTGTATGTCCTTGGTAAGTACTGCATTGTCCTTTTCCCTCATATCTCCAACTGGTCAAAATGTGTCCAAGATGCTGTGATCACAATGAAGAAGCAAGCCTGTGAGTGACCCTCATGCTCGTAGAGTAACTTTATCCAGCTGTGGGCCAAGGAGCTGAGGAGAGGACATGCTATGGGCTAGCAGTGCCATTTCTGGTAAATGGGGGTGAACCCATACCCTTGCCTGCCTCACAATATCTATTTCTCAATCTGTCCCTGTCTAGTGGCTACATAAAGACAGCTGATGCCATCAGTGACAGGGACAAACCTGACCTACCGCCTCCAGAGTTTATTACCTCAACCAATTAAGTCTTCTCTTTCTGCCAGACAACCTGGGCCTAGTGTATGTCAGGTTCTGTTCTAGATGTAAAACAGATAACAAGAAGCAGGCAAGCATAAGCTCTTTCCCCAAGATGTGAGTTTCCTCCCTCCTAAGAGGAAAAGCAAATCAAGGCAAAAAGTGACAAGCCCAGGGCACAATATGGTTGTCTTACTTGTTCTTAATCCACAGCACTCTGAGATCCATTGGTTGTGTCCACATTCACTGTGGAATCTCTCACCCCTGGTTTACATCTTTGTCTTGGGTCTCTCTGGAAACATTTTGTATCCTACCTGTACAGGCACTGGAGGTTCTGGGCAATGTAGACTTAAGTCCTGGAGTTGGTCTCCATGTAGATGATCTCCAATCACAGTCCTGGAGATGGTCTCCGTGTAGATGATCTCCAATCACAGTCCTGGAGTTGGTCTCCATGTAGATGATCCTCAGTCACAGTCCTGGAGTTGGTCTCCATGTAGATGATCTCCAATCACAGTCCTGGTGTTGGTCTCCATGTAGATGATCTCCAATCACAGTCCTGGAGTTGGTCTCCATGTAGATAATGTCCAATCACAGTCTTGGAGTTGGTCTCCATGTAGATGAACTCCAATCATAGTCCTGGAATTAGTCTTCATGTAGATGATCTCCAATCAAAGTCCTGGAGCTGGTCTCCATGTAGATGATCTCCAATCACCAGCATACGCATCAGGGCATTCTCTTTGAACTTACTGACAGAGGCTTGAAGTCTTGTTTCTTGATCTTGATTCTGGCAATTTTACAGCAGGAAGTATAGTCAGATTATCCAGTGCAGTCCTGTTTGAGAAGTGAGCCCAGTTTGTCAGTGCCCTGCCCATGACCACACAGCCAGCTGATGCTGGGATCTGGACTTTAAAGCACATCTGACTTCAGGCTAGGTTCTTGCAGTCCAAGCAAGAAACACCATCTCCACTTAGCAGTCAGTTACATATGAGATGCTGAGTAAGAATTTCTCAAGCTCGACCATAATTTCCATTCGTCATCAGCTCACCGGGGTTTTGAGATGTTCCTCACACTGGATGCTAATAGTAGTGATGGGAGAATTACACCAATGTAGCCATAACATGACTCCATAGCAGATCTGTTCCCTGTGTTAACAAAGCGTCACAGTCCAGCAGCTAGAGATAAACTGATAAAAATTACAGATCATGAATGCTTCATTTGTGTCAATTCATTGCCAGGTGACACGAGAGAGTGTTCCAAGGTGACCACATCATGTGCAAGGGAACAAACAGGGCCTCCTGGAGGGTGGGACACTGTGACCCCTTGGTAGTGGCCATGTCAACCAAACTAGAACTTCTGACCTCCAAAGCATGACATAAAACTTTTCTGTTGTGTCAAACCATTACCTTTGTAGGAATCTGTTTTGTCATCCTTGAAGTTAATATAATGTTGGGGCCAAAGGGAGATGGTTTGGGGTTTAAGACCACTTGCTGTTCTTCCATGGGACCCAGGTTTTAGTCTGAGCACCCACATGGTGACTTATAACTAATATAATTTCAGTTCCAAGGTCTGTGACTCCCTCTTCTAGATTCCTTGACCACTAGCCATGTGTTCAGTGCATAGACGTAACGTGGAAGAAGAATACAGTTTCACATAAAATTGATTAATTAATGTGAAAATAATACATATTTTAAAATGGTAACATAAACCGGACTTTATTTTCTCTAATTAATGTGCATGTTATTGCATGTTGGGAAATATCTGTGGCATTATCACTACACCTGATTTAAGCAACCCCCCTAACTTGGGGCATCACCTAGAATCTCGTAATCAAATGTACATCTCACTAACTATACCTCACACTTAACACTTACATCACTGGTCTCAACAAAGAGTCATGTAATCACATCTAATACTATTGTATAAGAAGTGCAACATACCATGTGAACAGAAAATGAAAACCAAACTGATACTGGCATGAGAATCTCAAACAGAACTGGGGCTTCATGAAAATACTGCCAAAGACTCAGCGTCTCTGTGACTCATTTCCTCATCTCTTACATTTGTTTGCTAAGAGGCCCAAGTGAGGGGAACTGGGATCAACTCATGCTGAGGTCTAGTTTATAACAGTATTTGATGACAAACTAGAGGAGCTTGTGCGTTCTCGTCATGATGATCACTAACTGATGTTTCCTGCAGGAGCAGCTACACAGGACCTGAAGGTGATTCAGCCTGAGAAATCAGTTTCTGTCCTTGCTGGAAAGTCAGCCACTCTGAACTGTACTGTGACATGGCAGCTACCTGTGGAACCCATTATGTGGTTCAGGGGCACAGGACAGAGTCGACAACTAATATATAGTTTCACAGGAGAGAAGTTTCCCAGAGTCACAAATATTACAGATTTCACAAAGAGAAACAACCTGGACTTTTCCATCCGCATCAGTAATGTCACAACTCATGATGCTGGTACCTACTACTGTGTGATGGTCATCAGAACAGACTCTGACAAGGAGATTCAGTCAGAGGGAGGCACAGTGCTGTATGTCCTTGGTAAGTACTGCATTGTCCTCCTCACCCGTCATATTGCCAACAAGTCAAAATGCGTCCAAGATGCTGTGATCAACAATGAAGAAGCAAGCCTGGGAGTGACCCTCATGCTCATAGGGTGACTTTACCTAACTGTGGGCCAAGGAAGCTGAGGAGAATACATGCTATGGGATAGCGGTGCCATTTCTGGTAAATGGGGGTAAACCCATACCCTTGCCTGCCTCATTATACCTTTCTCAATCCGTCCCTGTCTTGTTCAGGGACAGGGACAATCCTGACCTACCGCCTCCACAGTGTCTTACATCACCCAATTAAGTCTTCTCTTTCTGCCAGACAACCTGGGCCTAGTGTATGCCAGGTTCCATTCTAGATGTCAAACAGCGAGAAGCAGGCTAGCATGAGCTCTTTCCCAAAGATGTGAGTCTGCTCCCCATCACGAAGAAAACAAATCAAGGCAAAAAGTGACAAGCCCAGGGCACAGTATGGTTTTCTTACTTGTTCTTTGTCCACAGCACACTGAGATCCATTGGTATGAGCCCACATTCACTGTGGAATCTCTCACCCCTGGTTTACATCTTTGTTCTGGGTCTCTCTGGAAACATTTTGCATCCTACCTGCACAGGCACTGGAGGTTCTGGGCAATGGAGACTTAAGTACTGGAGTTAGTCTCCATGTAGATGATCTCCAATCACAGTCCTGGATTTGGTCTCCATGTAGAGTGAGTCCACGGGGGGTACTCACTTCACAGACTCTCCCTGCAAGCGCAGTATATAGGTCTGCTATACTGGAGGAGTGAAGTCATATAACACATTTAGAGAAACTCCTGACTTGTAGGAAATGTCTCATCAATGTGAGCTTTGTTACTCAAAAGTCATGTGACCTTGGACACTTACTTTCCCGCTCCAGGCCTTAGTTATCAATTAAGTTGAGGGTGTGGGTTGGTGATTCTCAACCTGGTTTCTCTCTTTTCTTTGGAATAATGTGGGAAACATAGATAAATCTAAGATCCATGTTTCTTTATTTGATCTGATATGGGTTTTGGCATCTGAAATATTAAATGTCTCGAGAATGTTCTAATATGCAGCTTGGGTAAATTATTCTCAGATACATTTTATGAAACAACATGAGATATTTGTGATTAGTCCCTTGATAGACCTGTTATGTCACCAAGCTGAGGTAGAGCCAATCCTTACGCTTCAGAATAGCAGTGCCCACCATGCTGCACAAAATACCCTAGAGATCAAGTAACTGGTATTTCTTATGAATATTTCTCTTATGAGAAATGCCAGGAACATTTCTCAGGGGGGAGACCCCAGGGTCCCCAAGATCCAACCAAGGCAGAACACTGTTCAACTCCAGTCTCAGGCACAACTCTCATATATTGCACAGGGCTGCAGAGGAACAATCTCTGAGGCCTGACATTTCTCTTTCACTGAGAACTCTACTTAATGGCACAGTATGTTGCTGAGCTCTGTCCTTCAACCTTCTCATGCTCATCTGCTCTCTATAATTAGCCCTTCTGGAGGAAGTGCTTGCAGTCCTGATTGTGCTGTAAAAGCCACTGGACAACTTAGTAAGAAGATCCCTAAGAAAGAGGAGGATGTCAGGGTGCAGAACAGCGTTTCTCAACCTGTGGTTCACAACCTGTCTGCTGGTTGAACAGAACAGCAGTTTCGTATCAGATATTTATATTATGATTTATTAAAGTAGTAAAGTAGTAAAATTACAGTTATGAAGCAGTAACAAAAATAATTTTATGGTTGATGGTCACAACCACATGAGGAATAAAGGGTTGCAACATTAGGAAGGTAAGGGCAGAGTTTCAAAGTCCTCAGAGTTTTGGTGGGCTTGGGTGCATAAATGACCCAGGTAAAGATCTCTGATGATAAACTCCTTGTGTCCTCTCTAATGGTTCCTCCTACCACTTGATTTACAGAACTGAAGACATCAGATACTGCTGAAATCCTTGTAGCTCTGCTCCTTGTACCCAAAATGCTACTGGTAATTGGTGCCTCTGCCATCTACATGTTCAAGAAGCAGAAGGCCTGACTGTAAGTTAGGAGGGCTGGAGGGGGTGTTAATTACCATCTCTTGACATGACAACATTGCACAGTGAAAATAATTTACAGAATAAAGGGTTTCTATGGTCTTACTGTTTCAGCGGCATGAGTCCATCAAGCCTGAGAAGCGTGGAAGCAGATCAGGGAGTAGAGAGCTCACATCCTTGGTGAAGATCATGAAACATAAAGGATAAACTGGAAGTGTGACAAGCCTTCTTTTTAATATCACAGCTCACCTCCTTAACATACTTTCTCTGGAAGGACTACACTGCCTAAACCTCACCAAAAAGTAACACTGACTGAAAAACAAATATATATACACATATAGACATATATATATACACACACACACACTAGAATATGGAGATTGTTTCTTTTTTTGAGGGAAAGAAAATTTTAACAACGTATTTACTAATAGTACATTTTAAGTTTCCCTGTGTGTAAGATAATATTCCAATAGATTTATTTATATGAACTCTTTTATTTTGTATCATTCCACTATTTTCCCTGAATGGTAACCTTGAATTTAGATATATATCCTTTACTATCTATCTCAAGCTCATAGACACTTGGCTTTGGAATATTGTTTATATTTTATTATTTTTAACTGGGCTACATATATATTCCCTACTACCTTTTCTTCCTCCTCTCTCCCCTTCTGCTCTCCCTCTCTGTCCCACATGCTCCCAGTTGACTTAGGAGATCTTGTCCTTTTCACCTTCCTAGTCAGATCCATGTATTTCTCTCTTAGGGTTTTCTTTGTTGTCTAGGTTCTCTGAGGTTGGGGATTGTAGACTGGTTATTATTTGCTTTGTGTCTAAAAGCAACTTATGAGTGAGTACATATTATAATTGTCTTTCTAGGTCTGGATTACCTCAATCAGTATGTTTTTTTTTCTAGTTCCATCCATTTTTTTGAAAAGTTCAAGATGTCATTTTTTAACACTGAGTAGTATTCCATTGTGTAAATGTATCCTTATCCATTCTTCAGTTGAGGAGCACTGAGACTGTTTCCAGGTCTGGACATTACAAATAATGTTGCTATAAACATGGTTGAGCAAATGTCCTTGTGGTATGATTGAGCATCCTTTGGGTATATGCCTAAGAGTGGTATTTCTGGGTCTTGAGATAGAATGATTCCTAATTTTCTGAGAAATTGCCATACTGGTTTCCAAACTGATTGTACCAGTTTGCACTCCTAGCAGCAATGGAGGAGTGTTCCCCTTACTCCAAAACCTCTCCAGCATAAGTTGTCATCAGTATTTTTGTTCTTGGCCATTCTGACAGGTATAAGATGGTATCCCAGAGTTCTTTTGATTTGCATTTCTCAGATGGCTAAGGATGTTGATATTTCCTTAAATGTCTTTCAGCTATTTGAGATTCCTCTGTTGAGAGTTCTCTGTTTAAGTCTGTACTCTATTTTTTCATTGGGTTGTTTGGTTTTTTGATATCTAGTCTCTTGAGTTCTTTGTGTATTTTGGAGATCAGCCCTCTGTGTGATGTGGGGTTAGTGTATATCTTTTCCCATTCTGTGGGCTACCATTTTGCCTTATTGACTGTGTCCTTTGCTGTACAGAAGCTTTGCAGTTTCAGGAGTTCCCATTTCTTAATTGTTTCTCTCTATGTCTGTGCTTCTGGGGTTATTTTTAGGAAGTGGTTTCCTGTGCCTATATGTTCAAGGTTACTTCCCACTTTCTCTTCTATGAGGTTCAGTGTGGTTGGTTTTATGTTGATGTCTTTGATCCATTTGGACTTGAGTTTTGTGCATGGGGATTCTACGAGTCTATATCCAGTCATATCAGCACCATTTGTTGAAGATGCTTTCTTTTTTTTCCATTGTATAATTTTAGCTTCTTTGTCAAAACGTATATGTTCATAGGTGTATAGATTGATATCCAGGCCTTCAGTTCGATTCCATTGGTTCTCCTATCTGATCATTTACTCAGATTTTCTATATCCATATTTCCTTTAATTTGTGTTTATTTTCTATTGACTCTATTTCAGTTTTCAAGTCGTGAACTATTTCTTTCACTTCTTTGACTGCTTTTTCTTGGTTTTCTTTAAGGAATTTGTTGATTTCTTCCAATTTTTTGTTTGTCTTTTCCTCCATTTCTTTAATTTTTATTTCCTCTTTAAAGACCTCAATCATCTTCATAAAGTTATTTTTAAGGTAATTTTCTTCTGCTTCATCTGCATTGGGATGTTCAGGCCTTGCTGTTGTAGAACTACTAGTGTACGGTGGTGTTGTCTTGCTCTTTATGTTGTTGACTGTATTCTTACCCTGTTGTCTACACATCTCTTCCTCCAATCAGAATAGGTAGTGTCTGTGTTTAATGGGGTCCATTATATCCAATTGGTATACTTGGGGGCTGTTGCTCTGTTTATTGCTTCTTCCGGTGTGGGCAGAGGAGAGCCTTTGGTCATTGCTCCTCCGGGTGCCTATGGGCCCGAGGCTCAGATGATCATTCCTCCTGGTGTTGGCAGGGTTGATGCTCCAGTGGTCAGATAATGTCTGGAGGCCACTGCTACCATCATGGCCTGATACATTGCTGCTCCTGTTTCTCTTCCCAGTGGTCTGTCCCAGTACAACACACTATGCTCATTCTTCTCCTCCCCGGCAGCCTGACACAGTCTGGCCCTTCATGCTGATGCCTATGCTTCTCCTCCCAGCAGCCTGGCCTGACCCTCTCTGCTACTGCTCGTGTTTCTCCTCCCAGCAGCCTGGCCTGGACTAGCCTGTTACATTGCTGCTTATACTTCTCCTCCCAGAATCCTAGCTTGGCTCAGCTAGCTGTTTCTCACGCTTCTCCTTCCTGTGGTCTGGCCTTGTCCAGCCTGTTGCATTGCTGCTTAAGCATTTCCTCTCGGCAGGCTGGGGTGGCCACCCAAACTACTGCTCACCTTCTCCTCCCAGTGGTCTGTCAGAATATTTTTTATTCAAAGCACCAGGGGAAAATCAGTCTATGAACTAACATAGAAGAGGCAGGATCAGGAGTAAGGACAAGGCATTTGCCAAACAGATTTATGATCTGTGCTGATGACATGTTGTTGAGGATTTCTCAGGAAACCAAGTAAGGGTTCACTCAGGGTCAATAAAGGTATTCAAAGAGGCATAAAGGATGTGAAGGACATGGACCCTGGGTAGGATGTGGGGTATTGGCATCACTGCTCCTGTTGGAAGTCACCATAGAAAGTGGAAAGCACAGATCATGGGAAATAGTAATCTACATTATGGACCAATTTTTATAATTGAAGACCTGTAATAAGGACTATGTCTGCTTTGGTCTCTAAGTGATCATAAAGAAGAGATTCAGAAAGACCGTAGGACTCAGAGACTAGGCTTAGATGACACTTTTATGGCATGGGCACCTCATCAACTCAGGACAGGGGGAGAGCAGTACCAGGGACATTGCAGCACTAAGATACAATGTGTAAGTAGTCATTTTCCACAGATCTTCTCTTCATCTTCTGCCACATTGGATCCTGAATGTCTGACATCACCTTTCTTAGAGAGAGACTGAGACTAGAAAAAACTGGTGAGAAGCTGTGAAAATCTGCCACAAATGTCTCCATTAAAAGACACCTCCAATTCAGAATTCCCTATTGTTTTTCTGCATAAGTATTGATAGCTCAGAGCTATGATGCTTCTGTTATTGGATAATATATTTTGGGTTCTTAATCTCATTAATAAAAAGTTTAAAAATTTACTCAAGTGAAAGTCCAAAGATAATCTGCTCAAGTTATGAGGGAATATTTCAAGCTCATGCAAGTATGCAACTCAGCAATCACACAGAGGAGGACAATGGAAAGGGAAAAATACACTCATGCTGTTTAAGCAGGTATGGAGGTCAGACATATATGATAAACAAACTGACACATGAAAAATGGGGCATTTCGGGCTGTAGAGTTGGCTCAAAGGTAAAGATCATTGCCTATTCTTCCAAAGGTTCTGAGTTCAATTCCCAGCAACCACATGGTGGCTCACAACCATCTGTAATGAGGTCTGGTGCCCTCCTCTGGCCTTCAGGCAAAATGCAGGAAGAATATTGTATACATAATAAATAAATAAATAAATATTTTTAAAAAATGGAGCATTTCTAGAAAAAGTAAAGGAGCCTAAAGTATCAGAAAAGTTATACTTAGATTCGTTCAGTGTCCAAAATCCAAATGAAAGAGACAGAATAAAAAAAAAAAAAGGAAAAGTCTGATCTGGCCACCCTGGGATGGATAGACAGACCCTACTGAAACTCAACGTAGCATGAGGAACCACACTGGGTAGGGAGAATTCTAGGAATGAAATGGGTAGTATATAAACTAATGAGAAAAAGTTTAGATACAGAGTCTTACTACATAGCCTTGACAGTCCTGTATATTGCTATGTAGGCAAGGCTCATTAAGATCTTCTTGTCTCTGCTTTCAGAGTCCAGCGATTGACTGTGTGCTGCACCATCATGCCTCTCTAGGAAAAATTATTCTGCCTATCCTTTGTTGCGACTTCAGAGGGTCCTATGACTAGGTGATGGACACTGCCCACCTAGAACCCTGGGTCTCCACCCAGGCCACAGTTTCTGTTCTCTTAATCATGAGCTTTCTTTAATGGGCCTCTGTAGCTACTCTAAATTATAACCCTAAAACCATTTAGGAATGAGATAAGGATCAGAGTCTCCAAACACTTTTGCTCTCTCTGGTTTTGGAAAGAACAAGGTGCCCCAAGGCCATTTTGGGCTTCTAGACAGAAGAAACTAGTTTTTTAAAAGTTATTAAATGTTCTTTTCATCACAAACAAAAGTAAAAATGTAGCACTTAATTATATTTCCACAAGGCCCAAAGCATATAACTTCAAGTATGTGGAATACTTCATGCCTATAAACACTTGAAATTGTATTGCTATTATTTACTAGCCTACTTTAATATACCATCAGATTTTCTTTTTTAAAAATATTTATTTGTTTATTATATATACAATATTCTGTCTGTGTGTATGTCTGCAGGCCAGAAGAGGGCACCAGACCTCATTACAGATGGTTGTGAGCCACCATGTGATTGCTGGGAACTGAACAAAGAACCTTTGGAAGAGCAGGCAATGCTCTTAACCACTGAGCCATCTCTCCAGCCCCTCTCCCCCATCAGATTTTCTTAATTCTACTAAAAATTTATTGATGGATAAATTATGAAATAAAAAGAATGTAGAAAAGTCTGTCCTAAGAGTAAATGTCTCCCTTCCATCTATAATTTTGGTTTTTTATTGTTTTTATTTCTTTATAAATAATACCGTTCAAAATAAAAAAATAAGGAACACTTCATGAATTTGCGTGTCATCCATACATAGGGGCCATGTTAATCTTCTCTGTATTGTTCCAATTTTAGTATATGTGCTGCTGAAGCGAGCAGAAACTAATGTCTTAGAGGTCATCTTCCCTAAATATCCTGTTCAGTTTCAACACCTTCTATCTCTCTCTCTCTCTCTCTCTTTTCTTTTTAACCATAATTCTTTTTAAAAAATATTTATTTATTTATTTATTATGTATACAATATTCTGTCTGTGTGTATGTCTGCAAGCCAGAAGAGGGCACCAGATCTTATTACAGATGGTTGTGAGCTACCATGTGGTTGCTGGGAATTGAACTCAGGACCTTTGGAAGAGCAGGCAATGCTCTTAGCCACTGAGCCATCTCTCCAGCTCCTTAACCATAATTCTTGATTGATTCTGTGGGAATTTCACATCATGCACCCAATTCTGCTCACTTCCCAGTGTCTGCCCATCACCCTTGCAGAATTCCCCCACAAAAGAAAACCATGCAAAATTAATTAACCAAATGCCACACAGATCAAGGTGACCACAGCAGCAGCTTTCCACACAGACACCAACATAGTCTCATCCTCATGGCTCTAGGTGGTAACAGGAGCCACAGACATCAACTCAGATCCTGGCTGCTGTAGAGACATGGAGTCAGACATGACTCTTGACAGCAGCCCAGACTTGGGCAACCATGGCCCCATGTAGCAGCAGAAGTCATGCAGACTGCCATGGCCCCTACGGCAGGACAGGCCCCAGACACCAACATAACCACAGGTTATGGTCTATACTTAGACATCCATGTGGCCTTTGGTGGCAACATGGTCCATGCATCCCAACATAGACCCTGGCTGTGGTAATAACATGGACCCAGACTTATCTTTGGCAGCAGTCTGAGCCTGGATATCACCATGGCCCCAGAAGGACACTCAGATTGGCACCACTCAAGGAGTTATGTGGCCCTTCAACAGCAACATGGCCCCAGGTACCATCCCAGAACCCCAAGCATTGGCATGACCTTCAATGGATTCAGGAGCCACAGACATCAACACAGACTCTGGCTGTAGTGGGGCCACAAACCTAGACATGTCTCTGCACCACAGCTTGGGTCTATATAGCACTAGGTAGCAGTAAAGGCCCTTAAGATCAGTATTACCACAGTGGCAGAATGGTCTTTGAGCACAAAAATGGTCACAGGTGGCAAACAAGACTTGGAATCTTCTTGGTCTTTGGTGGCAATATGGGTCATGAGTGTCAGCTCAAGTAGCGTCCATAATGGTCTTTTGTCACCCCCTGCTGGGCTGCAGCAGTCAGCTTCGCAAGGATTTAGGCCTTGTGGCCTGTGGGTGCAGATCCCATGACATCACCCAGCGCCCCACTGGAGGCTGGAAGTTTGCCTTTACCTCTGCCCTCCCATCCCTCCTGGTTTTCTAGAAGGGGAAGTAAAAGTAACTACTCGTATGGAGCGCGAGTCCAGTGTATGGCCCCAGGGTGAGGCTGGGAGCTGCTGCAGTGATTTTAAGTGGGTTGCGTGTCTCTGCTTTACAGTGCAATTGCTAAAGACCATTGCAGAATTGCGCTGGAGATAAGGAAAGCCTGTGATGAGGAATTACGGTGTAATTGAGTGTAGACTCATCAACTCCTCTATACTTGACGACAGTAAAGGAGGTCAGATTGTGTCAGAAATCGTAACTTTAGGGACAGTGCCCACCCATTCAGTTGTTGAGTAAGTGGGGGAATTGGTTATTCACCTCCTAGATCCACATCCGATTCCAGAACTGTTCAGTTTAGTATTTTCTCTCTCAAGCCATTGAATTAATTACCTATACACCTTTGGGTATATTGCCATCATTGCAGTGTTTGACCTACTAGGAGCCACTCAGAAATAAAAGGAGAACACGATTGCACCTAGGTATGGTGGAGAAGAAGGTTTATTGTAGATCTGAGGGAGAGAACAGCCAAACAGCCAGATGCATATGACAGAGTTCAGGTTATACATGACCAGCCCACTGAGCTGGGCTGTGTGAGGAAAGGGGGGAAAGGGAGAGAGAGAAACTTTCAGGGTAGGGTTGGGTGGGGCAACATGGAGCACATAGGGACTGAAGGATGCTGGGACAACCTGGCAGCCAGGTCGGCTTTGATATGTTAAATAGGCGAGGACCCTTAAATTGAGAACCAGTTCCTTCTTCTCCTTTTTGGTTTTGGGGATTGAACTCAAGCCCTCATACGTGTTAAGTTTGTGCTATTCCACTGAACACCACCCCCTCAACTATATAATTCTGAAGATGGAAATTAACTTAGAAATATTGCATTGCAATCATGGAAACAGTATGGTAAACTGAGGTAGAATCTGGTGTTGGCAGCTGTTGTCTAGAGATTTGAATAAGCTAAGAATCAGTGTGATTCATTTAAAGGGATCACCAAAATTCAGAAAAAGACTAAAGATGGAAATTAGATGAAGTGTTTCTTAGGGCTACATTCAGAGTTTGAGATCAAGGTGGCCAGAAGCAAAGAAATCCATGCCAGGCTAAAACCGGATCCTGGACTACAGCGGCTGTGTCCTGGTGAGTTCCTTTTTCTTGTCCATGCTATAGGGTTTTGGGACACCCGTTCATGTTTACTTTTGTTGATTACCGGGCTTTTGTTGAAGACACAGTCCACGCCAAGAGCCTGATCCTAGCAGTGAAAACAGACTTTCACCTAGGTGAATTTTGTTTATTTTAGGGACACTTAGCACTCAATCTTCACAGCCCCATTCTGACCTAAGAGCTATCTGGGCAGATGAGCTGTAACAGTCTTGAGTCACACAGTTGGGCATAGACTTTTAAAATGGGAATTTGCAGTTCGAAGCCAAATCTGCTATCCTCCCTGGGATATCTCTTACAAAATCTTTATATATTGGAACTGTCTGATACAATCTGTCCCTAATGGCTAATTTCTCTATGCACTAAGATTTGGCCTCAATAAGATCTTGATAATGGGACACATTGGCCACCAGAGGGAAGCCTTGAGCTAACCATCCTCAAGTTCTGGAAAATTTTCTCAGTGTGGGACAAATAGACAGAGCTCTCCACAATCCATGGCTTTGGGGCTCTGCACTCCTGAGTATGTAAATTTTTCATGCTGGTTTCTGAGAATGTTAGACCCTAAGATCTTCTTGTAGCAAGAATTACAGGAAGTTGTCAAAAATTAGACCTTGGTCCCAGGAATGAACATTTTTTTAACTGCCCAGCCATGTTTCTAGTACTGTAAGTATTTTAAAGCCTATTTGTATCATTTGAAGTCAAGAAATAGGGATAAACTCATATGAGAGAAAAACTCTATTCCTGAAAATGATTGTGCAAAGACGTTAGACATCACAGTTGTCTTCAGCTTCAAGAAAAAAAACATGTTTCTTTGATTTTTTATCATAACCTTGAAGGAAGTAAATTGCTTATCATGTTCACTGAAGACTGATAGTAGATTACTTCATTGTGGTTTCTACTTTGAAACATTTGAGGTAGATACTGAAGGGTGCTTCATGTGTGACAAATCCATTTAGTGAAGTTTATTTTGTGGTCCTTACATTTCTTCTGTGGCTTTTGTTTATATTCTATTGTGCTCTTATTTATTGATTGATATTTTTATGCTGTAATGTGTAGAATAGTATCCCCATCATCTAAGTGATCCATTGTTTAGTTAAACATCAGGCAGTGTGTGATTATACTTTTCAAGTAAGGGTGTCCATGAAATGGTGGTGGGTTGTTGTTTCTGGTTTTGTTTTAATATTTCCACAAATTCCCAAATTCCCTTGAGATTTTCTTGTTTGTTATTCAGCTCAACTTAGATGTCAGTAATGATTCAAGAATACATTAGAACCCATGATCCTTATGTGTTTATGTCCTGAGTACAAGTCTAAGGGTGGATGATGTACTCCCAACATTTGCTGTTTTATCAACACAATTTAACAATGTTAATGTCAAAATATTTACTAGAAGAGAATATAAGAAACATTAATGACCTCATGTGTGTATTCAAAGCAATATTTTCAATTATCTGGTAAAGATGTAATAAAATAGGATAATCACCATTCAACTGTGTGTCTCATACTGTAGCTTGATGTTTTATGTGTGTGTATAAACATATATTAGAATATACACATATAAATATTGAATTTCCCTGTCCCCATAGTTAATCATTTGTTATTTCCTCTTGAAGAACTGACTTCTAAGGAAATTTATCACAGATGCCAGATAATGTAATGACACTAGGTTTTATTTTATAACAAAGATTTATGGTGTTTGTGTAATGTGATTATGGGTTTGTAGTACTAGTGCAGATATGTGGAGACCAGAAGACAACTTTGTGGTTTTTGCTTTTGGTCCTTTTAATATGGTGATCAAGGTCAGTTTTCCAGCCTTCCACACCATAGACATTTTCCTCTGAGCTATCTCACTGGTGCTCAGCTAAGATTATATGATATTGATATATGTGTGTGTTTATAAATATATGTATATATAATATATATAACAGTATATAGTATATAACATTATATATACTGTTATAGAACAGTAAACTGTTGTCTTCTTTTCAGATTGTAAACTTAATTTCATATGAGGATAGAGGAACACAGGACAACTTGAATAATAAATCCTCTGCATAGGAAAATTTTATATGACCATATATTTTTTAAAATTTGTTTATACTGGAAGGTAAACATTTGTTTATAACACTTTCACAGAACTACAATTGAAATCTAGAACATTGCTCCATTTATTAAAATTGTTTGCTGCTAAGACTGATGCCCTGGGTTAGGGTTAGGTTTTAGGGTTTACGGTTAGGATTGTTAGGGTTAGGGCATGGTGAGAGGGAGGGACTGGATGGGACCAAAGGAACAAAGGAGGGAGGGAGGGAGGAAGGAAGGAAGGAAGGAAGGAAGGGAGGGAGGAAGGGAGGAAGGGAGGTAGGGAGGTAGGTAGGGAAGGAGGGAGGAAGGGAGGGAGGGAAATGGCAGCTGCAGTTCCCTGCCATCTAAGTCTCCTTTCAAAGACATATTTCACCATGGCCACTGCTTGCTTGCTTGCAGTTCTCTTTCTCCACCCCACTCCCCATGCCCCCAGCCCCTACTTCTCAGGCAAAATACCAAGTCAGAGAAAATTAAAACAGCCATGGAATAGTTTTTTAAAAAATCCCACTTGGATTTCATTTCCAGGAATAATATTGTCATAGTGATTTGTTGTGAACGTTTTCACGTAGGACAGAAAAAAAAATGGGGAAACAAGCTCCACTGGGAGCAGAAGCCAGGGACAAACCCAGCCCTGGGATCCAACCCAATCCTGGGACACTGACAGACCAGGATTGAGCCAACGACCTGACTCAGAGTCCATGACCTCCACCAGAACCGGAGTGGTACTGAACCAATTACCTAAGACACAAGACACAGAGACAACAAACTCAACCAGGAGCAGAAGCCAGGAGCAAACCCAGCATCAGGATTGACCCACCTTACAGTGACACTTCATCCAGCAAGGTCACACCTATTTCAACACTACACATCTTATGATAATGCCACTCCCTTTGGACCAAGCATTCAAACACAGGAGTCTATCCAAGGCAGGGCATGTCTACTTATCCACCAGACTCTTAAAACTGTCTTTAGGCGGACTTGAGAAATGGTTCAGAGGTTGAAGCGCCACCTGCAGTGCCCAAGGTCCCGAGTTTGATTCCCGTCTGTGCCTGTGTCTGGGTAAGTGTCTGTGTGTGAATGTGTCCCTGTGTGTCTGTGTGTGAATGTCGACGTGCATGCATAATTAATCGAAAAAAAAGAGCACTAGATGCTCTTTCAGCGGTCCTGAGTTCAATTCCTAACAACTGTGTGGTTGCTATCTGTAGTAATAAGAGCGGCGGGCTGCGTCCCCGGCACCCGGCCGCCCGCACGGCTATCTTTACCCGAAATAATTACACGGACTGTATTCTTTTAAACACTTCCTGACCCATTAGTTTCAGTTTCTTATTGGCTAGCTCTTACATATGGATCTAACCCATTTCTATTAATCTGTGTAGCCCAAGAGCTGGCTTACCAGGAATGATCTTAACCTGCGTCTGCCTGGAGTGGGAGAATCATGGCGACTCCTTGACTCAGCTTCTTTCTCCCAGCCTTCCATTCTGTTTACTCCTCCCACCTATGTTTTAACCTATGAGGGCCAAGCAGTTTCTTTATTGCTTAACCAATGAAATCAACAGATTGATATATGACACTCCCACATCATCTATCAACAATCTATAATGTATTCCAGTTCCCCTATTTTGCCTTCATTAAAGGCAAATGTGCAGGCAGAACACTGTATATTAAATAAATAAATAAATAAATCTTTAAACAAAACTGCTTTTATGTACATAGAAGTGAATTTAGTAAAGTGAAGATGATGTATTGAATGACAATGAAGAAAAATCCTGTTACTACAAATGGATAATTTATTATTATTAAATTTTATATTTTAGAAAAGAAAACAAACTATCTTTTTTATTTTACGTACCAATCCCATTTCTCACTCCTTCCCCTCCTCCCATTCCATCCATCTTCCCACACACCCTCCCTATTCATTACTCATAGAGGGGAAGACACATTGCTTTGAGGAAGGTTCGAGGCCCTCCCTACTAATATCTAGGCTGAACAAGGTATCCATCCAAAGAGAATGGGTTCCCAAAAAGCTAGTACAGGCAGTAGGGATAAATCCTGGGGCCACTGCCATTGGTCTTACAGTCTGCCTCACCATACAAATGTCACCCACAGTCAGAGGGAATAATTTGGCCCTATGCTGGTACATTTCCTGTCCAGCTGGAGTTGGTGAGCTCCCATTAGCTCAGGTAACCTGTTTCAGTGGTTGTCCCATTATGATCTTGACCTCTTTGTTCATATTCTCACTCCTCACACTCTTCACTGGACTTTGGGAACTCATCCCTGCACTCTGCTGTGGGCTTCTGCCTCTGTTTCCATCAGTTACTGGATGAAGGTTCTATGGTGACATTTGAGATATTCATAAATGTGACTACTGGGCAAGGCCGTATCAGGTACCTTCTCCACTATTGCTTAGGGTCTTTGTGGATTCCAGGAACTTTCTCTAGTGGCATATTTCTGTATATATAGAATAAGGCAGTGGAAAGGCTGAGACAGTAAAAGTGCTCCCTGTGCGAGCCTAGGAACCAGAGCCTGACCTTGGGACTCTCATAAGGTGGAAAGGGAGAACTGATGACATCAGGTTATGTCCACATACATGATGACACTCCCCTCCCCACACACAGTATACATATACACACAATCATAATTATAGATTACTATGACTTTAAATAAATAATAGCAGACATGGTCATGCATGCTTAGAATCCCAGTACTTGAAGTGGGGGTGGCAGAAGGATCATGAGTTCAACCCTAGTGTGAGCTACAAAACAAGTCCAAATCTCTCCCTCTCTCACTCTATCTCTCTGAGAAAATAGAATACATCTTAAAGTATTTTCTTAAAATGACTTTCAGTGAAGTAAATATCAATAATGTAGACTAGCTGCAGGCCTGAAATTAATTTTTTGAGATTTTATTTTTAAGTGTATGAGCATTTGCCTAAATGTGTACCACATGCATGCAATACCCTCAGAGACAAAAGAGGGCACTGTATCCCACGGGATGGAGTCACAGCCCATTGTGAGCGACTGTTACGTGCTAGGCAGGCCCTGAACCCAGGTCCTCTGGAAGAGCAGCTGAACAGCTGAGTCCGCAGCCCAACAATTTTAGGCTGAGATATTACAGCATTGAAAGTACTAAATAAAAGTCATCTTACTTAGTAATTAGGGACAAAAACCAGAATAAAATTTTATAGGTGCAGAAATCTTCTGGCTAATTAAGCTCAATTTGTGTAAAAACTTTACTCTCTGAGGAGTTATTAATCAAGTTGGTGGAGGACTTGCCTTGAATGAGCAAGGCTCAGAGTTTGATCTCTAGTCCTACACATAAAACATAGACCAAGATCAAGCAAATGTTAAGAGGAAAAACAAAAATCTAAAATTTTGGTCTCCAGTCAGGGAGATGGCTCAGCTGGCAAAGGGCTTGTTGGACAACTATAAAGACCTGAGTTTAAATTCTTACACATAAAAGCTGGGCAGAGTCACACATGTCTGTAACCCCAGCACTGGGAAAAGCTCACTGACCAGTCAGTCTAGCTGAATCAATGAGCTCCAGGTTCACAGAGACCTGGTCTCAAAAAATAAGGTGGGAAGCAATTGAGGAAGGCACTCAACATCAACTCTGCCCTCCAGTGCACACACTCAAGTAACACGCCTACACACACACACACACACACACAGAGAGAGAGAGAGAGAGAGAGAGAGAGAGAGAGAGAGAGGATTTCTATCTCGTCAGCTACATAATTATCACCACAGGCACATGACTAAAGCAGTTACTGAATCCTAAAGTGTTTCAACCAGAGGAAAAATACTGCCATTATTACAAGAAATAGAATCAGGAAGGGCTGAGGAGTTGCTTAGTGGTAAAGGGTAAAGTATTTGCCATTAACAAGCCAGCATAAACAGTTAACTCACTAACAAATCAGTATAAAGAGTTCATCCCTAGAGCCCGTGTAAAACCTGACATGATGGTTTACACTTGTAATGCCTGTCTAGGGGAGGCAGAGACAGAAGAACCCTGAGCCTGCAAAGTCCCAGTGAGAGACCCTGTCTCCAAAACAAGGTGGACATCTTGGGGAACAATACCCAAGGTTGACCTCTGACCTCCACAGGCACACACACCTATATATCCCACACATGAGCAAATACACAGACACGCTCATGAACGCACACACAAATACAACAAATACTTTAATTGAAAGGACATGAGAATTGAAAATTAGGAACAACTATAGCTTAACCACCATCTCATAAAACTGTTGTGTTGTTGGTTTGGGGGTGGTGTGGTTTGCTTTGTTTTGTTTTTCTCTGGTGAGACAGAATCTATGTTGCCCAGGCGAGTCTTAAACACACAGTGATCCTCCTGAGATTATAGGTGTCTTCTACCACTCCCAACGCACTGTGCATTTCTCATATAAACATGGTAAAATCCCAAACTGGATACAGGAACCTCAATTATCAACATACATTCGTAACTTAGTATTTCTACAATGTACTGGGTGTGTCCGGCTTTAGCAAAGTGGAGGTCAGTTATGGCTGGCCTTTGCTCTCACGCTGCCTTCAGATGTCTGCATGCCTATCTGTAATTCTAATTTGTAATTACTCTGCTTCTCATAGCTGAGTTTTCCGTTCTTTGTTTTCTTAGGAGCAGGAGGACGGAGGAAGCATGTTCATTGCTTTGGTGACATCATAACTCAAGATAATAAATGATTCTACCAAGTTTTCATTTGTCCAGTCTCATTAATTCAGAACTTTTAGCAGACAACTTCAATCCAACTGTTTTCTTTGTTAAATAGCCCTTTTCTTAAAGAGACATTATTTCCCAGTGTTAGGCCAGTTTGTCCTCAAACTGAGCAAAATCTCAACATCCTGCTGAGCCAGTTTGTAAATTCCAACTTCATTTAAGGCTGCTGTGGCAGGAACATGCTCGGAAGCTGACTGCAGGACATCTTTCAGGAGTAATGCAGAACCAATGTTCAAATTCAGAACAATGCAGGCTTCTTTTACACTGTTTAGGAAGACAAAAAAGAAGGGAAGGACAGATTCTCTATTGCACCATCTTTAGGCTGACAATCACCATTGGAGAATCTACATGGCCATTTCAACTTCCTATGGACTTACTACTTAGTTCTTTAAATATACTGGGACTACACAAAGTGTACAGTGTTAACAGATCATTCGTTTGTCTTAGTAAACTGATGTTAACAGATTATTAAATATAGCAATGATTTTAGGTAGAATTAGGACATAGGGGAAAAAAGAAAAGGAATAAAAATGAACATGCCGAAAAGCAAAACAAATCAAAAACATAAAACAGGTTGGAGATGTTGGCATACTTTTAATCTCAGTACTCAGGAAACCAAAGTGGAAGTATCTCTACTTCTACTAGGACAGTCTGGTCTACACTGTGAGCTCCAGGCTAGCCAAGGCTACACAGAGAGACTTTGTTTCAGAAAACCAAAACCACAACAGAAATAGAAAGGCTGTGTAAAACGGCTCGTGGGTAAAGTGCCTGTTGGCAAGCTTTGTGACCTGATTTCAATTCTTGGGTTTTGCATGGTAGGAGAGAACTATTTCCCACAAGTTGTCATCTGACCTCCACACAAGAATAGAAATTTAAAAATTTAAATAATAATAAAAATCAGCTGAGCAGTGGTAGTGCATGCCTTTAATCCCAGCACTCAGGAGGCAGAAGCAGGAGGATCTCTGTGACTTCGAGGTCAGCCTGGTCTACAAAGTTAGTTTTAGGGCATCCAAGGCTATACAAAGAAACCTTGTCTTGACAAACACAGTATGTACTCACTCATAAGTGGGTATTAGAGGTAAAGCAAAGAATAACCAGCCTATAGTCCATGACCCCAGAGAACCTAGGTAACAAGAAGAACCCTGAGAGACATACATGGATCCCCCTAGGAATGGGAAATAGATAAAATCTTCTAGAAAATTGGGAGCATGGGGGGAGGGGAACAGGAAAGGAAGAGGACAGGAGAAGGGGAGGGAGGAGAACTTGAGGGAATGGGATGGCCAAGATGTGGGAAGGACAAAGAGGGAAAGCAAGGAAAGAGACCTTTTGATTGAAGGAGCCATTACAGGGCTAGTGTGAATCCTGACACCAGGAAAATTCCCAGGATTCCATAAGAATGACCCCAGCTAAGACCCTAAGCAATAGTGGAGAGGGTGCCTGAACTGGCCTTCCCCTGTAATCAAATTGATGTACTGGGCTTAGCTCCTGGAGTACAGTCATAGAGAGGGAGGAGTCAAAGGGATCAAGACCATGATGGGGATACCAACAGAACACCTGACCTGAGCTAGAGGAAGCTCACTGGCTCTGTACTGATGGGGGAGGAGGGACCTGCATAAGACCAAACTAGGCACTCTGAATGTGGCTTGAGAAGTCTACGGGGCCACTGGCAGTGGGACCAGGATTTATCCCTAGTGTTTGAAAGGGGTTTTTTGGAGCCCATTCTTTTTGGAGGGATACCTTGCTCAGCATAGATATAGGGGAAGGGCCTTGGTCCTGCCTCAGAGTGATGTGCCAGACTTTGTTGACTCCCCTGAGAAGCCTTACCCTCTTAAGGAGTGAAGAGAGGCGGTGGGGAGAGGATATAGAAAGAGTGGGAAGAGGGGAAGGAGTGGGAACTGGAATAGCTATGGAAAATGAGAAAAGATTGTTTAAAAAATTAAAATAAAAAAGAAACTCTTGTCTTAAAAAAAAACATAATAAAAATAACAATAATAAACAAACAGGCACTGGAGATTTACTGTACTAGGTAGAGTGCTTACCTAGAACGAATAAGTGTGGGAGAGAACTTGGGGGTGTGGAGAGTGTGTACCTGCATTCACAACACTCAGAAGTGGGAGACAGGAGGGTCAGAAGCTAAGGGGCGCCCTCTGCTACTACATACTAATTCATGGCCAGCTTGCAATACCTGAAACCCAAACCAGAAGCAACCATAGCTTCCTGAAATAAACAAGCATAAGCTTTTATATTGCAAAGGAATGTTTCCAAATTGCACAAACCCTATACATAATGTAAATTTTAAATCAACAAAATTTTTACTAAATTCTTAGTAATTGTTCTCATGTTTTAACTATACCTAGAACTAAAACTAATATTAAATTTATAAGAAAACTCATTTTCCTGTGGTCTCGGCTACTGTTAGGCACTAAACCTAGCTGTGATTTCTTATTTTCTGCAGGTGGTAGATTTATATCTGAATTCATTTTCTATTTACTCTCCCAGTAATAAGCAAATAGCAGTGACCTAGATGCTAGGTAGCAAGTACAACATGTAATTTCTGAGGATGTGGATCACATGCATTATTTTGGTTTCCCTATTGTGTTTTGAAAATAAAATAGATACCCAAAGGATGCTTTAAGGTTTTAACTTATTTTTTATATATTTTTTTAATTATATGTGCCTGTTTTGCCTGTACGTGTCTATGCACCTTGTATGTGCCTGGTGCCTGTGGAGGCCAGAAGACAGTGTCAGAACTGGAGCTATGGACAGCTGTAAGCCACTATGTAAGTGCTGAGAACCAAACCCCAGTCCTCTACAAGAGCATCACGTGCTCTTAACTTATGAGCTATCTCTCCAGCTCCAGATTTTAATTGATATTACTGCAACCAATATCAATGAAACTCTGAAATTGTTAAAAAAGAAGCCAACTCTTTTAACAAGTGGATACACCAATATTTACAATAAGTCATCAGGCTTACTGTTTAAAGTAGTTTTCTGGTCTCTTGCAATAGTGAGAAAACAAAGGGAAAAGATTCCGTGTCATATCGAACTGCAACTGGGCTGCTCCTCCTTCGTTGAAATGATTAGCAAGGATTATCTGAAACAAAAAGCAATACATATAACGACAGCCTTCGTCAGCACAGCCAGCCCCCCAGCACCCACTGGCTTACCTCCTGATAGATGTATGTATCCAGCTTCTCTACAAGTATCTGCCAGAAAATCCGGAATAAGGAGAAACAAAGCTGCTGCTCCAGCTGAAGCAGATGATCCCGCAAGGTCAGCAAGAGTGGGCAGGCTGAGCTGGACAGGGACATCACTGCCTGTTCAGACTGTGATGGCAGGGACAACCATCTAAAAAAACAAATAACCTTCACCAGAAGGATGCTTATCACTCTGTATCCTTAAGGTTTCAACAAATCATTTTAAATTCAAGATTTACTGTTTGGGGGGAATTCTAGAGTTTAAAAGAAAAAAAGTAATGTCTAATATTAAAGGCCCTCCCAGAAATAAATGTATCTACTTATATTTTAACTTTTAATCATTTAATATTTCCTTGAAAATACCCTAAATTCAATTGTTGTAAGCTAAAAATTAAAGCTTATCTTTAGAATTAAAAAGACGCCAGTTAATCTTATGTTCTGATTTTAGCAAACAAACTAATACTACTTCCAAACTGATGACAGTTCTGTGAGCAGGTACCATACTAGGGCTTAAAGGCAGGAGAATCAATTGTGAGACACATACACAGGGCACGGACTACAGGGCACTTTCCTCTGGACACCGAGCTAGTCGACCCCAGATCATGTCCCTTCTCTGTGAAATCCACATTATCACTTGTTTATTTCTGAGTAAATTTCAAAAGAATAGATTTTAGAAAGATTTACATCGAAACCAAAGTTTGGACCTACCACATACAGAACCCCGAGTTCAGTCTCCACATACGGGAGCAGGGGTTCCACAAAAGCTATGATCCATGGCATCCATGCCACCTTCGACTCGACCAGCTTGTGTAAGAGTGACTGACACAGGACATACCTTTCCTTCTTATACAACTTTGCGGCATCTTTCACTTCTCTAAAAACGTGGTCCACTTGGCGAGTCAACATATCAAGCTTTAAACGCTCCAAGAGGTTAATCATGTCATCAAAGACAGAGCTCTCCATGGAGGCCAGCTGTCCCAGCTGCAGCTTACTGAGGGCGTTATTCTCTGCAAAGACCTCCAGCGCTGCCTGCTGAAGCTGCAGGAAGAACTGAAAGCACGCATCTATTAGGATAAGTATTACCATGTGCTGGGCATCATACAATTTCCTTATTTAAGGTAGCAGTCCAGCTCCAGAGAGACGGCTCCATCGGTAAAGTCACTTGCTGCCAAGCCTGATGTCCTGAGTTCAAGATGGAAGCACTTTTCACAGAAAAATAGGCACACTATTGTTCCCAGCAACATTATACATAATAGATACAAAATGGAAACAATCCAAACATCCAGCAGCTAGAGAATGCATAAAATGTAGTATGTCTTTGCCTGTCTGGAAGAGTGGAACTGCTGGATTTATAATTCCATCTTTCACCACCTGCCGTATACAGAGGGTTAAAGCTCTCTACGTGCACACTGGGAGAGTTTTGTGTAGGTTTGTTGTTTGGGTTTTGTTTTGTTTTTGGCATATGTGAGAGTTTTGTTTGTTTTCTTTTTTGCATTGTTTTAAGACTGGAATTTGCTATGTAGTTCAGGCTGGTCTCAAAATAGTAGTCCAGTGTATCTTCAAACTCATAATCACCCTGCCTCAGTCTCCTAAGCATTTGGTTAAAAGTGTTACTGTGGTACTTGTAGTCTTAGCTAGCTCAAAACTCTCTGTGCAGATGAAGCTGGCCTTGAAGGTGTGGTCCCATTGCTAAAATGAAAGGGGTGTGCCTTCCCTGACAGTTTCTTTTTCTCACTACAGTGGCTTTTATTTGTAAATTTGTATTTCCTGGTCATGATCATGCTCCAAACACTCAAGTTTTTAAAAAAAAAAAAACTGAAGGTTGTCATAAACCTGGAATTATAACAGTCAGAGAACTAAAATGTCATTTTTTTTTTCAGTACTAGCCCAAGAGCCTCCTAGGCCACATGTCCAAAGTCTGAAACCAGAGATGAACTGTGGAGAAGGCATGCCTAATGTAATGAGCACATTTACACAAATCCTTCACTTACCCCTCCCCAACTCCCACACTTAGGACAGTTGGAACTGAAAGGAAATTTCTGAATGCTTGGATATTTCAGGCTTGGCATAATCCAACAACAGATGGTCATCAACAGACAATCAGAAACAGACGGAAGGCGAACTGTCATTTTTTTTCTGGTTATGGAACTATACAACAAAAACTTTGATGACATTTACTTAAAGCATTTAAAGTCTGAAGCACTGTGAAAATAATTGAAGGACTTTTGATGGGAAGATAAAATCAGCACCATAAAATCCAGAATCCATTCATACTTAATAGTCAACTCTTAAATTTTGTTCTTTCTCTTGCTCCGAGAAACAATACTTTAATTTTCTTTTTTTTTATTTTTTTAAATTTATTTATTTATTAAGTATTTCTGCCTCCTCCCCGCCACCGCCTCCCATTTCCCTTCCCCTCCCCCTATCAAGTCCCCCTCCCTCATCCGCTCGAAGAGCAATCAGGGTTCCCTGACCTGTGGGAAGTCCAAGGACCACCCACCTCCATCCAGGTCTAGTATGTAGAGCATCCAAACTGCCTAGGCTCCCCCAAAGCCAGTACATGCAGTAGGATCAAAAACCCATTGCCATTGTTCTTGAGTTCTCAGTAGTCCTCATTGTCCGCTATGTTCAGCAAGTCCGGTTTTATCCCATGCTTTTTCAGACCCAGGCCAGCTGGCCTTGGTGAGTTCCCGATAGAACATCCCCATTGTCTCAGTGTGTGGGTGTACCCCTCGCGGTCCTGAGTTCCTTGCTCATGCTCTCTCTCCTTCTGCTCCTGATTTGGACCTTGAGATTTCTGTCAGGTGCTCCCATGTGGGTCTCTGTCTCTGTCTCCTTTCATTGCCTGATGAAGGTTAATATTCAGGAGGATGCCTATATGTTTGTCTTTGGATTCACCTTCTTATTTAGCTTCTCTAGGATCGCGAATTATAAGCTCAATGTCCTTTATTTATGGCTAGAAACCAACTATGAGTGAGTACATCCCCTGTTCCTCTTTTTGGGTCTGGCTTACCTCACTCAGGATAGTGTTTTCTATTTCCATCCATTTGTATGCAAAATTCAAGAAGTCCTTGTTTTTTACTGCTGAGTAATACTCTAATATGTATATATTCCATACTTTCTTCATTCAATATTTTAATTTTCTTTAGGTAAAGATGGTAGCCAAACCATCTTCATTAGCAGACAATGGCACCAAATAGTTGTGATGTTCTACAAAGAATTTCATTGATACTAAAAATCTGTTCCTGAATGAGTCTCTCACTGGATCATCTAGCATAAGAATGACAATTTGTTTCATGCTTTGAAAAGTCTTAGCAGCAAGTGGATCAGTGTGGGAGCTGGATATGAAGTGCTGACTGGAAGTAGAACATGACACAAAAGTGCAAAATGAACAAATAATGCTGATTGACTTTATAAAAATAAATGCATTAATCACGCACTCTGCATTATATTCATTTCCTTGCTCCAGCAAATGACATCATGTACATATATTTCAGTTAACTCTGTGTGTGTGTGTGTGTGTGTGTGTGTGAGAGAGAGAGAGAGAGATGGTGCTTGATACTGAACCAACAGTCTTATACATGCTGGGCAAGTACTCTACTACCACTAAACTACACTCCTGTCCTTCAGTTAACTTGTTTTTGTTTTTGGTGGAGCTGGAGACTGAACCTAGAGCTTTGTGTGTTGCTAGAAAAGAACCCTACCAACTGAGCTACGTTCTCAACACTATGTAAAAACTTCTACTTTATTTTCCTTTGTACAAGAGATTGAATCAAGGGCTTCATTTTTACTAAGCAAGGACTCTGCCACTGAACAAAATCCCAACCTTAATTTTATAATTTTTAACTCCCCTCTACATACTGTATTTTTAAAGCGGCATTTTTAAAATATACACACACTATATTTTTAATTTAGGGAGATTAGTCTACTTTGCTTTTATGATAATATATAACAGTTTATATCTATAATATACCTATCTGTTCATCATAGTTTTTATGCTCTAATGTATATTTTGCCATCATATGCTTACCTAAGGTCCTTATGAATGGTTTCTGTCATGAAATGCACTGTATGAAGCATACATTATAAAGCCAAATACATAGCTGTACCTTCATAAATGTTCTTAAAACACCGAATCCTAGCTGGACAGCACTCTTGCCTAAGAAGTTAGCCCGGAAGGCCCTCTGAAATCACTTTAGTACTGTATCTAAAATATCTAAAGAAATTAACCAATATTGAGACTATATATAAAGGCTTTCTTTTTTGAGGCAGGATTTCATGTACCTTAGGCTGACCTTGAACTTCCTGTGTAGCTGAGGATAACCTAGAACTTCTGATCTTCCTCCACCTCCCATGTGTTGGGATCGCAGACTTCTCCACATGCCCAGTTTATGCTGTGTGGGATCAAACCCAGGACTTACACATGGGGGTAATGATTCCACCAACTGAGTCACAGCCCCAGTCTCTAAAGGCATATTCGAACAGAAGTACATATCAGAAAATCTGGTTACCTTCACTAAGCTAATAGTTAATATCTGTTGTTTAGATTAATAACAAGATTAAAACTTAAATCTATGAACATATACCATAGTGATTTGAATAAGTATGACCCCTATAAGCTCATATATTTGAATGTTTAGACCAGGGAGCAGAACTGTTTGAAAGGATTAGAATAATTAGGAGGTGTAGCTTTCTCGGAGTAGGTGTGGCCTTGTTGGAGAAGGTGGGCTCTGAAATTTCAAAAGTCCATGCTAGGCCCAATGTCTGTCTTGTCTGTCTGGTCTCTCTCTCTCTCTCTCTCTCTCTCTCCCTCCCTCCCTCCCTCCCTCCTTCCCTCCTTCCCTTCCTCTCCCTCACCTCTCTCCTCGCCTCCTCTCCCCTCTCCTCTCCTCTCTGCCTGTGAATCAAGATGTAGCTCTCAGTTACTGCTCCAGTGCCGGCCTGCATGCTGCCAAGATCCCTGCCATGATAATGGACTAAACTTCTGAAACTGTAAGCAAACCCCCAATTAAATGCTTTCTCTTATAAGATTTGCACTGGTTGTGGGGTCTCTTCACAGCGATAGAACAGCAACTAAGACACATACAATCTTCAAGGAGAGGGCAAGAATAGGTAGGACCCTTGAAGGACTGAAGTGCTTACTTAAAATACACTTTGCAGTATATTTTGCAGTGTACTTCTTTTCAATGTGGTAAATGTGGTATGTGGTTGTTTTTGTTTTTTCTTAAGTAGTTCTTGGGCTGGGGAAGTGGATCAGTGGGCAAAGTCCATGCTACTCAAACACAAAGACCTCCGGTAGCCAAGTAAACACCAGCGTGATGGTGTGCACCTGTAATTGTAACACTAGCAGGCAAAGCTGGGTATCCCTAGCCTGCCAGCCTAGCCAAAAGGACAATCTCCAGGTTCACCAAAAGACTGCCTCAAAAAATAAGATGGAAATGAAGAGAAGAAAAAAAAGACATTAACCTCTGGTCTACACACACGCACACACTTTTCTTTTACAGATACATACTAAAATATTAATAATTAAATATAATATGTGAGGTAAACTTAAAATAGTCAAGTTGGTTGGGACAGGGAGAAGTGATAACAACACAAAGGTGGTGTAAGAAGCATAGCAAGGGTCTGGAATTAAGAGCACTCACTGCTCTTTCAGAGGATCCAGGTTCAGTGGCCAACACCAACATGGTGACTTACAATCCTCTGTAACTCCAGTATGGGAGGAATCTTCTAGCCTCTGTGGGCACTGCACATGGGTGGTTTACACACTTACATGCACCAAAACACTCAGACACATACCATTAAAGAAAACCTTTAAAAAAAACAGTAAGAGTGACAGATACATAATGCACCCACCGGATGGGCCTGTGGACACTGACGTAGGCAGTTCCAGCCTTTGTGGTGGTCCTGGGTGCAGACTGAGCAAGCCATGGAGAACCATCTAATAAGCAACACTCCTCCATGATTTCTGCACCAGCTCCTGTCTCCATGTTCCTGCCCTGACTCCCTGGATGGCGGACGACAAGCTGCCTTTGGCCACAGTCTTTTATCACAGCAATAGGAACCATAACTAAGAAATCTTGTTTTGAAGATATCCAAAAGAGTCAAGCCCTGGACTTTTTTTTCTTTGCAGTGTTGGGAAATAAAAACAAAACTTTTCACCATGTTCTGCCACTGAACTATACCACCAATTTAAATGTATTGGCTTGGGGATCATTATAATGACTTTTCTGTGCTAGCATTTAGCATATTATTATTTTCAGAGTACAAAGTTGGAAGAAAAAAATGGTTCATGCTATATAGTTATTTATGGAAGTCTGTGTGTCTGTCTTCATTTTCTTTCTTTCCTTCCTTTTGTTTATTTCTGAAAGAAGTAACTCAGGCTAGCCTAGAACTCACTATATTATCAAAAATGACCTTGAGGCTCCTGATCCATATTCCCAAGTGCTGGGATTACAGGCTAACCTACCATGTCTGCCTGTTTTCTTCTTTTTGTCTTTTCTTTCTCTCAGTTTATGGTCCTAGGGATCAAACTCAAGATCTTGCTCAAGTTTGGTGGGTTTATATGCTCAACTGAGCTATACCTCTAGCCCTCTTATGAGTAAAGTTATTAAATAATTAGTATTATTTAACTGTTTTAAATTTGATTGAGAAAAATCTTTACTCACATCTCCTAAATTTGGTATCATTATGCTTTTTGTCGAACATAATTTTTTTTGCTTGTAACAGAGCCAACATTTCAAAGGTTAAAGAAGATCAAGGTACAATATATTATTTATATAAACATAAAAGCATATTAACTCACAACATTGTCAGCCCAATCTGCCAGCACTGTTGAGATGTAGTTCACAGCATTAAGAATTGCACAGTACCGGAAGTCAAGTGAAGCTCTGGTCTCTTCTTTCATGACCTGCGTTAATCGTATCCTAAAATCATCGACTAGATCTTTCTGTAATTCCAGGAACTGCAGCTTTCGGGAAGCTGTGGGAAGATTTTTATACCTGTCTGGGAAAAAATTAACAAAACACATGATGGGGTTTGGCACTGTCATGACAGTTTTCCCTAAAATTCAACTCTACTGCCTTTATGAAAAATCTCAAATGACCATTCCTAAACGCTTAAAGATTACAAGGGTTATCTTTACATTACCCTTTACATGTGTCAAGGCTCATCCAACAGTATACTTAAAAATACTTAAAATCTAGATCTGTAGCCGGGCGGTGGTGGCGCACGCCTTTAATCCCAGCACTCGGGAGGCAGAGGCAGGCGGATCTCTGTGAGTTCGAGACCAGCCTGGTCTACAAGAGCTAGTTCCAGGACAGGCTCCAAAACCACAGAGAAACCCTGTCTCGAAAAACCAAAAAAAAAAAAAAAAAAAAAAAAAAAAAATCTAGATCTGTGTGTTTTACTACATAAAATCATGTCCCATTTACAAAAAAGAAAGTATGGGGTTTTTTTTTTTTTGGTTTTTTTTTGTTTTGTTTTGTTTGTTTTTTTTTTTTTTGAGACAGAGTTTCTCTGTAGCTTTGAGGCCTGTTACTGAAACTAGCTCTTGTAGACCAAGGTGGCCTCAAACTCACAGAGATCTGCCTGCCTCTGTCATCCGAATGCTGGGATTAAAGGTGTGTGCCACCACCAATCAGCACATATTATGTTTAAAAATAACTGTTCCTTAAGTTAGTAGCTCTGGTGAGCAGGACTTGAGTGAGACAGGGATCATGTAGCCCAGGCTGGTCTCAAATTCCCTATGTGGCTAAGGATGACTTTGAATCCCTGATTCTTTAGCCTCTACCTCTAAAATCCTGGTATTTCAGATTAAAGGTATGTACCATCATATCTGGCAATCATTTTCTTTTTCCAACGTAATATTTTTATTGATTATTTGGGAATTTCACACAATGCACCCAAGGTCCACTTCCACCACCTTTGTAACCACCACCACCACCACCCCAAAAAAAGAAGAAAAAATAAAAACACAAGTCCAATTTGTGTTGCTCATATACCCACTGGAGCATGGTCAAACTCGCAGTGGTCAGCCCCTTAAAGAAACTCCACCAAAAAAACCACAGGGAAACCCTGTCTCGAAAAACCAAAAAAAAAAAAAAAAAAGAAAAAAGAAACTCCAGTCCTTCCTACCAGAAGTCCTACTCCTGCCAGAAGTCATCAATTGTGGAAAAAAATACTTCAGCATCCTTACCAGAATTTTTAAGGGCTCTTTGATGGCTGGTTGTCTAGGCTGTTATTTTGTTGGGGATAGGGAAGCGTGTGGTAGTTGCTTTCATATGCCTTCTATGGCTCTCAGCTGTGTGTCTGCCAGCATTGATTCCACTCCAAAAGCAACTTCCTTGTCCTTTACAGTCAGTGGGAGCATGGACCACGGACATCAACATGGCCTCAGCCCACTTACATCAACAGGCATAGGTCACTTCTGTCAACAAGGCCCCCAGCAGCTCCATGGCCCACAGACATTAACATGGCTCCCAGCTGCAGCAGGACCACAGACCCCAACTTGACCCTCAGTGGCAGCACAGACCATGGATATCAACATGACCTCAAGTAGCAGTACAGGCCACACACATCAACATAAAAGACAGGTCTCCAGTGGTAACCAGGACCACAGACACTAGCATGGCCTCTGCATTAGCACAGAGTATGGGCATACATCTGACCTACCATGGTAGCATGGTAGTCATCAACATGGCCTCCACCGGCAGCCCACTCCACTGATATATACATGAACCTTAGGCTTCAATACAGCATGGGACCACAGCATGGACCACAGATACCAACAAAGCCTCTGGGGGCAGGATGGACCATGAAGATCTTAAATGGTATTCCAACCCAGAAAATGAATCATTCTTTACCTCCGACATCCTGTTGTTGCTCAGAGCTAGAGCGATCTTGTGGCTGGGCAGCACGTTTGGGGGCTGAGTCTGAGCAAGCTCAAGGCTGCTGCACATCACCCCACCAGTCCTACCTGGCAATGGCAACATGTTCAACTGTGTCTTTCTGTCACATCTGTCATCACCATGACGCCTCTAGTTCCATCTCTCTCCAACACACACACACACACACACACACACACACACACACACTCACACACACACACTCCTCCATGCCTCCATCTTTCCATCTCTCCATCTCATATCCATTGATAATAGTGGCATTGGAAACTGCAGTATGCCACATAATTTACATATATATATATATATATATATATATATATATATATATATATGTAGTGCAAATACTCATTCCATTGAGTCACTAATCTGCTTCAAGATTTCTGGTTTCTGACATACCATAAATACTGGACCACTGCCAGAAACTCATCTTGGATATCCTGCGGTTGCCCAGAGTCAGGGTGACCTCGCATCCAACCCAAGGCTCACCAAGCTTGACCTTTGTGCCTGTAGCCTGCAAGCAGTACCACTGCCCTGTGCTCTCCCAGCAGCCACAGCAGCTCCATGCTGGCAGCATGGGCCAAAAACAGGCCCTATTCATCTGATTCTGTAAGACAGGCTCCTCCATGAGCTCCAGTAGCTCATAGATGGAAGAGATGTTCAGGTAGACCCACTCAAAGTGCTGGATCTGGGCCCAGATGGCAGCCAAGTTGGGCAGCCCAGGACTCTTCCCTTATCTTTAAGTGTTTCACATTTTTCCTATAGTCAAAATAGGTAATTATTGATTGGGTCAGAATGAAACTTCTTCAGATTATCATAAAGCTCAAGATATGGATGCTACAAGATCTGAGTAAATTGGGAACATGGGGACCTTGGAGGGTTTAAGAGCGGAAAAGAGAGGCAGGAAGGGGAGCAGAGAAAAATGTAGAGCTCAATAAAAATCAATTTAAAAAAAGCAAATAAATAAATAAATAAATGGATTGCTGTCTTAGTTAGGGTTTTTACTGTTGTAAAGAAACACCATGCCGGGCAGTGGTGGCGCATGCCTTTAATCCCAGCACTCGGGAGGCAGAGGCAGGCGGATCTCTGTGAGTTCGAGGCCAGCCTGGTCTACAAGAGCTAGTTCCAGGACAGGACCCAAAAAGCTACGGAGAAACCCCGCCTCGAAAATAAAAAAAAAAAAAAAAAAGAAACACCATGACCATGCCCATTCCTATTAATTAAAACATGTAATTGGGGCTCCCTTACAGTTTATCACCATGGTGGGGGGATGGGGGCATGCAGGCTGACGTGGTGTTGGAGTAGCTGAGAGTGCTGCATCTTGCAGGCAATAGGAAGTTGACTGAGACACTGGGAGGTATCCCAAGCATAGGAAACCTCACAACCCACCCCCACAGTAACACACTTGCTCCAGAAAGACCATACCACACCAAACTCCAACGAAGCCACACCTCCTAAAAGTGCCACTTCCTTTAGGGGTCATTTCTTTCAAACTGTCACATTCCACTCTCTGGCCCCCCAAAGGCTTGTAGCTGTATTATAATGCAAAAATGTATTTAATCTAACTTCCTAAATCCCCATAGCCTATAACAGTCTCAAATTTGTTTCAAAGTCCAAAATCATGGCAATCTCTTAACTGTAATCCCTTATAAAATTAAAATCAAAAAGCAGATCACATACTTCCAACACATAATGGCACAGGATATATATTACTATTCCAAAACACAGGGAAGGGGGCATATCAAGGAAACTGGACCAAAGCAAGACCAAAAACCAGCTGGGCAGACTCCAAACTCTGCATCTCCATGTCTGATGTCAAAACGCTCTTCAGATCTCCAACTCTGTTCAGCTTATTGTGGGCTGCTTCTACGCCCTGTTAGTAGCTCTACTCAGCAGGTGAAGGAGCAGAACAAACAGAAGAACTCCATTTCAGACAGGACCTAACTAGGGCTGGGGGTTAATGCAGCCCAGCAAAAGTTATACGCATTCCCAAGAAGCTGTGCCAGCCCTGGTCAGAGTAACCCACCAAAGTGTCCAAACAACAGTTCTTTACTGCATGCTTCAAATGTCCTTGTGGGTATCTGATTGACTGCTGTTTTGAAATTCTTGTCTGCTGATAGTCATTGTTTTGAAATTCCCCTATACCCTAACCAATCTGAGTTAGCTTGTATTCAATAAACCCCAGTGCGTTTGCGTCAGGCACCAGATCTGTGGTGGTTCCATTTGGGGGCTGCGTGTGACAAAGGCACAGTACAGGTATCCACAACTCTGCCATCTCCAAGGAAACGCGGGCTTCAACTTCACAGCTTCATGCAATGACCTCTCTACTAGGCCTGCATTCAGGAACACCCCTGTCACATGTCAGGGGCTTTCTTTAGGCTCAGAGGTAAACTCCATAACCCATTTCTTCTATCCTTAATTCTAAACCCACAACCATGTGGCTAAAGCTGCCAAGTTCTGCTGCTTACTGGGACTAGAACACGGCCCCCTTGTTCAGTTACATCTTCAACAGCTTTCTGTCCTTCACTGTAGAAGCTTAGCTATCCTGAAACTTGCTCTGTAGACCAGGCTGGCCTTAAACTCAAGAGATTCACCAGCCTCTGCCTTCCCAGTGCTGGGAGTGAAGGTGTGCACCACCACACCTGGCTATAAGCTTTTCTTTAGTTCCTTTTCACAAATTGGAAACTTAGCCGGGTGGGATTTTGCCCTGAGATCACCACTCCCTATATTCCATTACGTAATCATTTTATCTCCTTGAACAATTCTAAAACTACTTTATTATTCTACTCTCTTCTTCAGTGCCAAGAAAGTTTAGGTTTGCACTGGACATGGCAGTGTGTTCCTAGTCTCAGCTACCTGGAAAGCCAAGACAGAAAGATCATCTGAGAAGAGGAGCTCAAGTCAGCCCAGGCAATACAGTAAGACTCTACCTCTTAAAAATACAATAAATGGGGGCAGAAAGAACAATGACTGTTCTTGAAGAGGATCCTGGTTCCATTCCCAGCTTACAACCATACACAACTCCCATTCTAGAGAATCCAATGCTCTCTTCTGAGCTACACAGGCACTAAGCACGCATGTGGTACACATACATATGTGCAGGCAAACGTCTCAAACACATAAAGCTAAAGAATTTGAGTAAAATAAAAGGACTCAGAGAGATGCTTGCCATTTAAGAGTACTTGCTTACAGAGGATACAAGTTTGGTTCTCAGCCCCTCCATGGCAGCTCACAACCATCTGTAACTCCAATTTCAGGGGATCCAACATTTCCTTCTGGCCTCTATAGGCACTAAACACACACATGGTACACATACGTTCATGTAGGTATAAATACTCATACACATCAAGTCTTTAAAATAATAGTAATAAAATGAAATCTGAAGACTTGTAAAAAGAATGACAATGAATTTTTTTTAATTTTTTTTTTGTTGGTTTTTTTGTTTGTTTTTTGTTTTTCGAGACAGGATTTCTCTGTGTTGCCCCTTACTGTCCTAGAACTCACTCTGTAGACCAGGCTGACTTAGAACTCATAAATTATCTGCCTGCCTCTGCTTCGTGAGTCCTGGGATTAAAGGCATGAACCACCTTTATTCAAGACTTTTTCCCTTCATATGTATACCAATGTTTACATCCTAAATTATTGATGCTGTTGTTGTTAACATTATTTTGAGAGAGCATCTCAAATGGCCTGATTATTTTTTTGTTTTTTGTTTTTTTGGTTTTGTTTTTCGAGACAGGGTTTCTCTGTGGTTTTGGAGCCTGTCCTGGAACTAGCTCTTGTAGACCAGACTGGTTTCAAACTCACAGAGATCCGCCTGCCTCTGCCTCCCGAGTGCTGGGATTAAAGACATGAACCACCACTGCCCAGCCTCATTCAAGACTTTTTCCTTTCATATGTATACCAGTGTTTACATCCTAAGTTATTGATGCTGTTGTTGTTATCATTATTTTGAGATAGCATCTCAAATGGCCTGATCATTGCTACTATTAATATTATTATTAACATTTACTGTTATTTCATTATTTTGAGACAGAATCTCAGTATACATCTGGGGTAACCTGGAATTCATAAACCAGAATGGTCTCAAAGTCACAAATCCTCTAAACTGTTCTTCCATAATGCTGGGATAAAAAGTGAATGCTACCACACCTGGCTCAGTCCTAAATTATTATAAAACCAAACATGAGACTACTGTCCTAGATTTTTACTAGAATAGAAAAAACATGAAGTTACTATACCGTGATCCCTTATTTAACAAACCACAACAACGACAAAAAAAAAAAAATTCCGCGTGAAACGTACTACTTGGTTTATTTGGTTTTGGTTTTTGGAGACAGGTTTCTCTGTGTAGCCCTGGCTATCCTGGAACTTATTCTATAGATCAGGCTGGCCTTGAACTCAGAGATCCCCCTGCCTCTGCCTCCCAAGTGCTAGGATTAAAGGCATGCACCACTACCTCCTGGTAAAATGTACTACTTTAAAGATTTAGCACTCTTATGTTTATGAATGTGTGCCTGCATGTATACATATGCACCACACACACCTGGTATCTGAGGAGGTTACAGCAGGTTACATACAAACTGGGAGCTTACCAAGAGCGCAAGATCCTCATCTGCTGAGCTACCTCTCAAGCCCCAAACTTACTACAGTAGTTTTGTTTTTTGTTTGCTCCTTGGTTTGTTTTGTTTTTGTTTGATATGGCTGACCTCAAACTTGCTTTGTAGCTGGGACTGGCCTTGAACTCTTAGTCTTCCTGCCCTGCCTCTACTTCCCAAGATGGGATTACAAGTGTGTGTCCCCACACACAGCTTAAAAACTTAATTTTAAATTAATATTATACATTAAAAGACCAGTAATTACCAGTTATAACCAAAAGTAAAGTCATAAAAACTTCTGCACAGTCTGGAACCTTCATTTCATCCACATCAGTGATGTCTTTATATTGAGATACCCAAGCAGCCTCTGATGAAAGCATCGAGTCCATTTTTTGAAGAGCAACTAACAGGAAGAAAGAAAGACCATGTCAAGGAGTTATAGTCATCCTTAAATTATCAACTTATACTTTTTAGCAATTATTTTTTTCATACAAAATAAATTTGCAATCTCTAACTAATTGCACTATATTTAAAATGTTCTACTTTAGAGTTAAATAAAATACCTTATTTTCTCTCCTCTCAAATCCTCAAAATAGTTACGCTGTCTAGATGTGGTACATCCAAAAACAATCAACAAAAGGTAGAAATAGTGCAGAAACAGTATATGCCAAAAATTTATAAAACAGCAATATCCTCTACTGACTCAATATTTTAACAGGCAGACTGCAATTCCAAGGGAAAAAAAGAAAAAAAAAAACCCTGAGGATTCATGGAAAGAAAAGAAGATTGTCTTTGAAGGTAATTCAATAGATCCTGCCCAGGAAAACAGGCTCCTATAGTTCCTGCTCAGAGCTGAAAGAGAAAGAAAAAAAAAACAAAAAAACCCAAAAATTTACACACCAAAAACAGACAGATTGCCAGACAGTGGTGGTACATGCCTTTAATCCTAACACTTAGGAGGCAAAGGCATATAGATCTCAATGAGTTTGAGGCCAACTTGGTCTACATAGAGAGTTGTAGGCCAGCCAAAGTTGTATAGTGGGACCTTGCCTAAAAATAAAACAAAAAGGAAGCAAACAAACAAACAACAACAACAAACAAAAAACAACTGAGACAGCCCTCCCAAGGCAATGGCCACATGAGCACTTACATTTTCTCTCCACAGTCAACCATCTCTGAAAACAGGTTTCCTCTGACAGAATATGCATACAACTGGCAAAAGTGCTAGGATAGCCATGAACACTGTGCAGCTCCCTCTCAAACAACAACACCTCATCCACCAAATGGCAGAAGAGATTGTCATCATAGAGCAGGCAAGGTATATCGGAAGCCAGCTTCTCAAGGACAAGCATCACAAGGCCCCGGGAAAACTCGAGCTGAAAGAAACAGACAGGTATGAGGAATCATGTCCATCAGGTACGTGAACAACTCTAATGAAGCTGAAATTCAAAGGCCTTAGCCTCTTACCCTGGCATTTACTACAGAGCCTGCTTTATCCAATATTGGCTGAATCTTCTCATCCAGAAAGTGAGCATGGTTTCCAATCCATATGAGTACCTGAGTCAAGTACCATTCAGGCTAAGGGAAAAGAAATGGTTTCTATTCTTTATTTATTCTTTAGTTATAAAAATTCTAATTAAGTGCATTTAATTGTAAACAGACACCAAATTAGTTTAAAAAAATCCTATACATAAGACAATAATTCTTACCCTGTACTTCAAACTCACAAAAGACTTCATAATCAAATGTTTCCCAATATACTCTCAACAAATTCCAATAATGTGGCTTAAATCAGTAAACTCACAAATTTAAAATACCACATTGGAGCTACATATAGCTTGGTAGTATAACATTCACTTAGATGTAAAAAGCCTTGGTTTCAACCCCCAATGCCACAAAAAAGAGGAGGAGGGCATAATGACAACAATAATGAAGAAAAGACAGTCAAACACACTTAGAAACCAGCATCCGCCCAGCGCACACAAAGCCCTAGGTTCTACAACAAAACAAACAACAGCTCTGTGAGTGAAGGGGCCTGCGAGCAAACCTAGCAACCTGACGTGGTAGAGGGCAAGAACCAACTTGCACAGGCCGCTCCTCTGACCTACACAGGAGAAAGAAATAAAGTGCTGGTTTATTTTACAGCCCTCCAAACCTAGCATGATGAGGTACTACAAACAACTAATATCTTTGAAACTGTTTGTTGAAATAGCATTTCAAAAAGTTTTTGGGGATAGGATCTCATACAGCTTATGCTAGACTCAAACTCTGAGGATGATGAACTTCTGATCTTCTGCTCTACCTCCCTCGTTTGAGAATTTCATGTGGTTTATGTGGTGCAGGGGAGCAAACCTAGGTCTTCATGTGAGCTAGGCAAGCATGCTAAATACTTAGAATGAGTTACATCCCCAGATAAGTTTTAAACATGATGTTCTTCAGCTTTCTCTTTTCAAAACATAAAGGGGGAAAGTCAGCTGGTCTACATTAAAAATATATCCAAGCCTTAAAATGTACCAAGAATTTAAAATTTATATTACATTTTTCCTCTGTGTAGACATGCACATTTGCACAGAGACACAGTGTACAGTGGCACTCAGAAGACAACCTTAGTAGTCAGTTCTCTCTTGACACAGTGTGGGTCCTGGGGATCAAACTCCTGCTGCCAGGCTTGGAGGTATGTACGGCTTCATCCACTAGGCCACCTCACCAGCCCCACATAAAGCACTTTAAATTGTCTTTAGAAAGGATTCTGCAAACATTTCAAGTTTTTCTAGACAAGAACTCAAAAACATATACTAAGCTGGGGGTATAACTCAGGGATAGAACACTTGCCTAGCATGTGCAAGGCCCTGAGTTCAGTCCCCAGCACTGAGAAAAAAAAATGCTGTTAATGCCTATGGTGTTCTAAAGGTTGGGCATACAAATAAGGGCAGCATCTAATCTCAAGGATTGTCTCATTTTAGGTGTAGTGACAGTGCACTAACTTCATTAGGATCACACTTTTAAACTAAGCCAACACAACTCAAAATTTTCTTACACCAAATTATATTATTGCCTTTCTACATGTTCGGTTTATGTTTTGCCTCATTTACTACTGAGTACTAAATTATTCTGCTATTCCAACAACACTCTATCCAAAAAGGAAACCCATAAAGTACAAACATTAAGTTCATTCATATGACATGTAAATACCTGGAGCCCTGCTCCATGTGCTGTATTGGCTGCAGCAAACATCAAGAATAAACAAGACAGTGCCCTCATCCTTGTAAATTATAATTACAGAAAAGCAGCAACAGGATACACTGATGTGGTCCCTCTGTTCAAATGCTGCTAACAATTTCCTTTAAATTATTCCATCACTTACTGCCATGATGTCTCTTCTACAGCTATGAGTCACTTTGGCACTGGCCTGTCTATTCACCAGCCAATGCACTATCTTGTGGAACTCACAGTTATTTACTCTATGCATCTACAGGAGTGGGCTGTACAGTGAAGACAAGTCTGCTTGCCCAAATGTAAATGTGAGAAATTGGTCAATGTCCCAAAGAGAGCAGCAATTCTGACAACGTGTGAAGGCTACAAAGGGCAGTCATGAGGCAGGTATTTAGCCTTTTAGGGAAAACAGAAACATGTATAGAGATCAGTTTTTAACTTAAACACCCTGGCACGGGTAACATTTAATGAAAACACGGCAAAGGGATATCGTGACACATACATGTAATCTCAGTTCTCAGGAGGCAGATGCAGAGGGAGCTCAGTTTGGGGCCAGTCTGGGGTTCTTCTCGGACCATCTCAAAAAGAAAAGAGGAAATAGAGAAGCGCACCTTGCTGATGACGTTCGTCTGCCGGCTTCCTCTGAAGTGGTACCTGAATCTCTTCTGAAGGGGAGTCAGCATGATCTGGATGGGCAAGATCACAGAAGGGCATGGAGGAAGAGAATATTTTTCTGGGAGTTGTTTTGGCTCAGTTAATAATTCATCTCTGGCACAGTCAAGTCAAGGAAAAAGAATCAAAATCACATATATACACCTAAGTGTACACACATACATACACAAAAAAAAATTTCCATCAAATATATTAATACTTAGCAAAAGGTTTAATACAAGTAATGAAAAATCTAACTTTATATTGAATTTAAACCTAAAAAGGTTCATGGGACTGAAGACATGACCCCATGGTAAAGAACACTTGTTGTAGCCAGGGAGTGATGGTGCATGCCTTTAATCCCAGAAGTGGTAAGAGGATCTCTGTGAGTTCAAGGACAGCCTGATCTACAGAGCTAGTTCCAGGACAGGCTCCAAAGCTACATAGAAACCTTGTCTGGAAAACCAAAGAGGGGGTGGGGGAGGGAGGGAGAGAGAACACTTGTTGCTCTTGCAGAGAATCCAGGCTGGATTCCCAGCACCCACATCATTACAATCATCCTTAACCATAGCATCAGGGGATCTGATGTACTCTTCTGACTTGAACAGGCACAAGGCATGCACATGATACAGATACTGGCAAAACATTTATACTCACAAAATAAAAAATAAATGAAAATATAAAAGGTTTTTAGAATCAATGAACGGTAAGAAAATCAACTTACACAATCATTTGATTAGTACTTTCTAAGGTTTTTTTTTCCTATTGCCTATTTGTTTTATTGTTCTAAAAGACCTGTAATGCCAACACTGACCAGTTACTGTGGTGTTCTGAATAAGAATGGCCAACACAGGCTCAAATATTTAAATGTTTGGTCATTAGGAAGAGATACAATTTGACAGGGACTAGGTGTGTGGCCTTATTGGAATAGCTGTGGCCTTGGAGGAAGTGTGTCACTAGAGGTGGGCTTTGGGGGTTTCAACCGCTCAGGATAGGCCCAGTGTCTCCCTCTTCCTGCTGTCTCAGCTCCTTCTCCAGCACCATGTTTCCCACCATGACAACAATGGACTACACCTCTGAAACTAAGTCAGACCCAACTAAAGGTTTTCCTTTATAAGAGTTCCTGTGGCCACGGTGTCTCTTCACAGCAAAAGAACACTGGCTAAGACAGTTGTTGATCTCAGAATTCTTTTTTTACAGCCCTCCCACTCCCAGAAAATTCATTTTTCAAAGAGAATATATATTCTCCAACAAGCACATCAAGTCTAACCCAGGACCCTCGATTTGGCTTATGGACACTTTGAAAACTTTCCCCTGGTACTGGAGATAATTCCACTGCCTCCTTCATACTCTACCTCTCGATCACTTGCCCAGAATGTTTTAATCACTAGCCACAAATCTACTACAGGAAGAAGTTTTATCAAGTTTTCCACTCCAACAAAGATACGAGGCTTGAAGTTTCAACAGTTGACAAAACAGGGTCTCCAGGGTACCATACACCTCAGGCGCACCAGCAGGCCGGCTTATGCCAACAGTCTGAGACTGGGTGTGTGTGATGAACGGCCAATGAAGCTGTGCTAAAATTTCCTCAAAATCACTGTAACAGAAAAGAAACATTATCTCATATGATGCCATTGAATTACCAAATATCCATCAGAAAACAATCACCACGAGATATTTCCTGCCTGGTAAGCTTGTCCTTGAGAATTTTATGCCAGAATTTAACTGTCGCTCTCACGAAACTAAGAAGATGAGTACAAGATGACTCCTGAAGCTTGATGTCAACTTCTGTCATGGTCACCAGGATAGAGGCTGCCTCTGGCACATTATTGGTCATCAGGTATTGCTGAATGTTATCACTGTAAGACAAAGCAGAACACATGTTAATGAGAGCTTTTAGTGGAATGAGCTAGTGTGTGTGTGTACACCTGTGTGGATGTGTGTGTGTGTACCTGTCTTTGTGTGTATGTGTGTATACACCTGTGTGGATGTGTGTGTGTGTACCTGTCTTTGTGTGTATGTGTGTATGTATGTGTGTGGATGCCTGTGTGTATATGTGTGTATGTGTGTGTGTACCTGTCTTTGTATGTATGTGTTTACACCTGTGTGTATGTGTGTGTGAAGACCTGTCTGTGTGTGTGTATGTGTGTATGTGTGTGTGTGTGGACCTGTCTATGTGTGGATGTGTGTGTGGATGTGTGTGGATGCCTGTGTGTATATGTGTGTATGTGTGTGTGTACCTGTCTTTGTGTGTATGTGTTTACATCTGTGTGTATGTGTGTATGCAGACCTGTGTGTGTGTGTGTGTGTGTGTATGTGTGTACGTGTGTGTGTGGACCTGTGTGTGGATGTGTGTGTGTGTACGTGTGTGTGTGGACCTGTCTGTATGTGGATGTGTGTGTGTATGTGTGTACATGTGTGTGTGTGTATGTCTGTGTGTGGATGTGTGTGTGTGGACCTGTCTGTGTGTGGATGTGGATGTTTGTGTGTACCTGTGTGGAGACCCCAAGGTGAATGGCAGGTGTCTTTCTCAACCATTCTCCACCTTATCTTTGAGACATGGCCTCTTCATTGAACCTGAATTTCACCAACTCATCTGGAGTCTAGAGTCTGCACTGTCTGTCTGGCCAGCTCCAGGAGTCCTTCTTTCTGTCCCCCACAGCTAGCTTTCTCATGCAGGAGCTGGAGACTGAACTCGGGATATTTATGCTTACACAGAAAGCACTTTACTGATTAAACACACCCAAATCCCTTGGAACAATTTTAATCTCTGAAAAACTTTCTCAAGTCAAGCAGTGGTGGTGCACACCTTTAATCCCAGCTCTCGGGAGGCAGAGGCAGGAAGATCTCTGTAAATTCAAGGCCAGCCTGGTCCACAGAGAGAGTTTCAGAACAACCAGGGCTACACAGAGAAACTCTGTCTCAGGGGGAGAAAAAGGAAAAAAGGAAAAAAAAAACTTTCTCTGTCATCTAAGGAAGAATGAAGCACGGCCGTGAGCTGGCTGCTTACTTTATAAGACACTCACTCACATCTGAAGTTCCTTCCTTTACATCCTCTTTTTTTTGTTTGTTTGTTTTTTTGTTTTTGTTTTTCGAGACAGGGTTTCTCTGTGGTTTTGGAGCCTGTCCTGGAACTAGCTCTTGTAGACCAGGCTGGTCTCAACTCACAGAGATCCGCCTGCCTCTGCCTCCAGAGTGCTGGGATTAAAGGCGTGCGCCACCACCGCCCTTTACATCCTCTTTATAAGACACTCACATCTGAAGGAACCCGAGTTCCTTCCTTTACATCCTCTTTATAAGACACTCACATCTGAAGGAACCCGAGTTCCTTCCTTTACATCCTCTTTATAAGACACTCACATCTGAAGGAACCCGAGTTCCTTCCTTTACATCCTCTTAAGAGCAGCCTGTTCTTCAGATGTCATCTACCTGTCCCTCCCACTCCTCCTGAGAGGACAGATGGGTCACATTTCATGGATAATGTAATTAGCACTGGGACACTGAAGTAAAGTATCCTTCAGTTTTTATATACTTTTCACCATAGTTACCATTTCTACATCCAAAAAAGAACGTATTCCAAGCTAAGAGCTCATTAAATTAAAATAAAGACCATCATGCTTAAGAAATGTACAAATGTAGCCAGGCACAGCGACACAGCATGTAATCTTGCACTGTACACTGAGGAAATAGAGGCAGGAGGTTCAGGAATTTATAAGTCTTAAGACCTGCCTAGACCTCCAATTAAAAAATGAGGCAGGCACAAGAGGGCACACCTTTAATCTTAGCACCCAGTATGTGGATATCGGTAGATTGTTATAGAATATTAGTTGAAGATGTGTTACACCTGTTTAATGACGCAAAGATGTGCTGCATTCTTTTATGTTGTATTTGTTTAACTCTGTGAAACTGTATTACTTTGCCTGTCTAAAACATCAGATTGGTCTAATAAAGAGCTGAACAGCCAATAGGTATGAAGTAATAAGAGCGGCGGGGGGCTGCGTCCCTGGCACCCCAGCCGCCTGGCTAGCTTATGCCCCAAAATAATTACACAGACACTGTATTCTTTTAAGCACTGCTTGGCCCTTTAGCTCTAGCACTTACAGGCTAATTCTCACATCCTGATCAACCCATCTCTAATAATCTGTGAGAACCGGTCTTACCGGGAAGATTCTAGCCTAGTCTATCCTGGGTCGGAGCTTCATGCCGGGAGCGGGGCATGGCGTCTCTCTCAGGCGTCTGTTCCCGAGAGGAGAGCTGTGAGTCTCTGACCTCACTTCCTCTTCCTCCCAGCATTTTGTTCTGTTTACTCCACCCACAGGGCCAAGCAGTTTCTTTATTGGCCAATGACCTTCCTCCATCATTTCCCCTTTTTCGGTTTAAACAAAAAAAAGGCTTTAACTTTAACATAGCAAAATTACACATAAAAAAACAGTTATCAAGTAAAAGTTACAATAATCTTTATCATAACTAAGGAAAACTATAACTAACTATTCTTAACTCCATCAAAGACTCCAGAAAGATACAATACTACCTAAGCAAACAAGAAAAAAGCAACTTTTAAAACTCTAGAAATGACAGAGACATCTTGCTACCTGGACAGTCACCCAAAGTTCCTCTGTACCGTTGGGGCATCCATCTTCAGCCTTCAGGCCCATGCTATCCAGCAGACATTTCCATAAAGCAGGAAAATTCAAAGTCAGTTCAGTCACTATCTGTTGTGTCCTGCAGAATGTCTCGCAGACTCTTTCATGAATCAGGAACCCCGAAAGATCATCTCACCTTAGGCAAGTTCAATAGTCCTCTCTCTGCGGGTTCTCTGTGTTCAGTTTATGCAATAGTCTAGGCAAGAGCAGTTTCTTGCCCAAATAGCTATCAAACTCCATAACGAGCCTCTTTGATGCCCATCTTCCTCTTGAAGTAGATTGGTGCTGCCAGGAGCAGAGTGTCTCATTGTCATGAAAAGTCCTAAGTTATTAAAATATTTTAAATGCCATATTCTGCAGCCTTTGAGAGATATGAAGAATGCCTATCTGAAATATATCTCTATATGTCTAGAAAATCTAACTAACATGACTACAAGCTTTACTATTATCGATGATTATCCATTAACAACCTATATTTCTTAATTATACAGTACATATTTAAATGAACTACACAATCACAATACCTTAATCAAAATCAGAAACATATATATATATAACAAAATTGACCTTAAATCTCTATCAATAAAGCAAAATCTATACTAATGTAAATTATTCATATCTATATCATATCCCCCTTTAAATGTAAAAGGACGTTTATAAACCATATTTGGGAATATGGGCGCAGTTTTTTCTCTCCAAACTGCTTCCTGCTGAATGGGGGCGTCGTTAATTAGGTCTTTCATGGTATAACCTGTGTGCTAGTTTCATCTCAGTTGGCAGTTGAGCAAAGCAATTTTCTGAAGGTGTTCACACCAACCCTTCAGGAGGGCGTGGTCCATCATACCAAATCGGAATAGAAGAAATGAACAGCGTCTCATCCTCTGTGAAAACAAAATAAGAAACTCCTTTCCAAAGTATCATGTCCTTAGATCCAAATTTCAAATTCAAGGCATAAAAATATCTATGTTGGATTAGTTCAGCAGCATTTATAAATAAATATCTTTTAGCAGCTGTTGCTCCTTCCTCAGCATTTAAATAATTTAAAGAGAGCATAATAGCATACAGTATCAAAATTCTCTGTGTATTTTCCATCTTTGTGCAGCTTTGTTTTAACCTCTATTTTGTTTATTTTTACTTTTAACTCTTTGCTTTTTGAGACAGGTTCTCTGTATCTTTGACCTGAAGTAACTCTGTAGACCAGGCTGTCTTTGAACTCTCAGAGATCCGCCTGTCTCTGCCTCCCAGGCATTGGGATTAAAGGTGTACACTACTACACCTTGAACTCACAGAGATCTGTTTGCCTCTGCCTTCTAGGCACTGGGATTAAAGGCATGTGCTACCACACATAACAATTCTCTTCCTTTTTTTTTTTTTTGTTTTTTACTTTAAGAACTTCAACTTTTAGTCTGCATATATTTTTAACACACTTCAAACCATTTAGAAATTTTCTTTGTCTTTGAATCTCTCTTTACTGTATATCTCTCTTTTTCTGACCACACGAGTCTTCAATTTACCAAGCAATATCAGTAGGATTAAAGGCGTGGCTTTGCCAGCTGGACCCAGCCCATTCCTTAGCTTTTCAGCCTCAAGGCTGAGGTACTGGCTGTAGCCAGCAAGCGAGCTTCAGCAGCCTGTGCTTGCAAACCGCACAAACCGCCTGCGTAAAAGAGTCAGAGTTTGTCCTGGCAGGACAGCCCAGAAAGCCGGCATTTTTAAACGGCGCAGCTTTTTTTCTGCTACGGCTGAAAACCGAAAAGCATGTGTTCAGCTTTTCGTCAACACCATTTAAGTGTTTCGTGGTAGGACCTCTTAATGAGCTGCAGGGTTTTGCAGCCAAAGCTGAGTCAGGAAGCTTCTCTTAGATGAGAGAAGCTTGCTTGCCTCTAGCAAGCAGAGTGCCACAAATGCTTTAAAGCCAGAGTTCACGCTGGCAGCACAGCCCCAAGAAGCAGCGCTTTAAAATGACACAGCGTTTTTTCTGCTGCTGTTGCCGAATCAGGAAATCTCTCTACAGCACGCCATCAACAAACAGCAAAAATCTGTGTTAAACTCTCTCTCTCCCTTATTTTTAAGCCTTCTCAGGTTTTTTAGGTGGGTTTAGTCCATCATGTGGGGCGCCACAATGAAGTAATAAGAGCAGGCGGCTGGGGTGCTGGGAACGCAGCCCCGCCGCCACCCTTATTACTTCATAGGTAGACAGGAGAAAGGATAGGCATGGCAGGCAGGCAGAGAGAATAAATAAGAGGAGAAATCTGGGAATAAAAGATCAAGGAATAAAAGAAGAGAGAAGACACCAGGGGCCAGCCACCCAGCCACTCAGCAAGCCACGGAGTAAGAAGTAAAGAAAGGTATATAGAATAGAGAAAGATAAAAGCCCAGAGGCAGACAGGATAATTTTTTAAAAGTTGGATAGACACAAAGCAACCTAAGGCCATAAGAAAGAATAAGCCTCCATGTGTATTTATTCGGGCGCTGGGTAGCAGGCCCCCAAAACAGAAAAGAAAAAAAACCTCAACGACTAGAGCAGATCTCTGTGAGTTTGATGCCAGAAGCCTGGTCTACATAGTAAGTTCCAAGAAGTCAGGATTACATAGTAAGGCTCTGTCTTAAAAATAAAAAGCATCAGGTGGTGGTGGTGCACGCCTTTCAAGCCAGCCCTCGAGAAGCAGAGGTAGATAGATCTCTATGAGTTGGAGGCCAACCTAGTCTACAGGCACAAAAGCTACACAGAGAAACCTGTCTCAAAAAAACAATAATAATAATAAAAATAAAATAAACGAAGACAACCAATGTACAATTTGGAAGGGGTAGAGACCATACCGTGAAGCAGAATAATCTCCCCATTTAGGCAGAAACGTTGCTCTGACCAGAGAGAATCAACTTGTGGTGTTCACAAAACAGATGTGAACTTTATTTCTCTTTTTATCAAAATAACTTTCTTATTTTTCCCTATTCATAGGTATTTCACTCTATTATTCATCTAATAATAGTGCATTGTTTGGGGGTGGGTATTTGTCTGTTTGTTTTTAGGCAAGGTCTGGCCATGAAGCCCTAAGCTGCTCTTGAAGTGAACTTGCTATCCTTCTGTCTTGGCCTCCCCAAAACTAAAATGTCATGTTTGAACCATCACATTGGCCAAATTATGTAGTTATTTTTGCTTGCTGTTGTTTTGGAAATCAGGTCTCAGTAAGTATCCTGGGTTTTCTGGAAGTCACTATGTAAACAAAGCTGACCCAAAACATGCAGCAATCTTCCTGCTTCAGTCCCAAGTTGGGGATTATATGTTAGGCTCACAGTTCTTTTTTAAGCATTTATTTATGTATTCATTCGCTCATTCATTTATTCATTCCTTTCCTTATTATTTTGGTTTTTCAAGACAGGATTGATTGATTGATTGATTGATTGATTTGATTGATTGATAGTTTTGGTTTTTCAAGACAGGATTTGTGTAGCCCTCGCTGTCCTGAAACTCACACTATGGACCAGGCTGGCCTCGAATTTACAGAGATCTGCCTGCCTCTGCCTCCTAAGTGTTGGAATTAAAGGTATAAAATACCACCACACAGCCAATTATTTATTTATTCATATTTTATGTTTACAAGTGCTTTGCCTGCATGTATATTATGTGCACCATATGCATACAGTGATAAGAAAAGAAAGAAAAGAAATAGTAGTTTTGATCATGTGTTCAAAACACAATTGCTTGAGCCTTAAATTTTTTTTTTTAACTTTTTAATTTTTTTAGTTTTTCAAGGCAGGGTTTCTCTGTGTAGTCTTGGCTGTCCTAGAACTCATTCTGTAGACCAGACAGGAACTCACAGAGATCCACCTGCCTCACCTCCCAAGCACAGGGGTTAAAGGCGTGCGCAGCCTTAAATTTTTAACTTATTTAGAGTACTTTCTTTCAAACACAAATTAAGCTCCCTGAAAAGTTTATATTTATTCACAACAGAGCAGACTACTCATTACCATAATGCCATTTTCCTAACAACTAGTAAAAATTATAATCTTTAATTAACTCGATTATTTAACAGCATACACACACTCTCTGAGACAGAAGCTCAAAGGAAGCAATAATTATGAGAATAATGCCCACCTACCTTAGCTCTTCGATCTGGGAAACCCACTTAAGGTACGTGAGATGCTGCTCGATCTCTTCTATCTGGCTGATCATGGCACTAAGGTCGTCCATCCAGGGCTGTGCAGTCAGCAAATGGCTGGTGATGGAGCTGAAGAGAGGAGTTTCCTGCTCCAGAAACTGACTAAGAACGTGTCTGGATACTTCTGCATCTTTTAAAGCACTTTGAATTCTTTTAGGGATTTCTGACGAAATTGCAAGTACCTAACAACACACAAAAATATTAGCAATGAGGTAAAATTTTGTTAGTCTTTTCCAAAATCATGTTCCAAAAGAACTGAAAGTATTAAAAATTTCAAGCTAGCTGGGCACAGTGGTATAAATCTCTAATCTCAACACTCAAAAGGTAGGTGCAGGAGAACCTTGTCAGTTTAAGGCTGTGTGTGAGTTTCAGGCTAGCCACAGTTATGTAATGAGAGTTTGTCTTAAAAACAAAACATAAAGGCTGGAGAGATGGCTTGGAGGTTAAGAGCACTATTTGCTTTTCCAGAGGACCTGGGTTCAATTCCCAGTACCCACATGGCAGCCCACAACTGTAACTCCAGTTCCAGGGCTTCTGACACCCTTGCCTGGGCACACATGTACATAAAATAAAAAAAAAAAAAAAAAAACATAAAAACCCTTTAAACAAAAGGTTTGGTTAGGTGTGCTGGCATACACCTTCTGTCCCAGCACTTGGGAGGTAGAAGTTGAACAATCAGGAATTCAAGGTCAGCCTGGGCTATTTATTGAGTTCTAGGCCACCCTAGCCTACATAAGACTATATCAAAAGAGGACTGGAGAGATGGCTCAGTGGTTAAGAGCACTGGCTGCTCTTCCAGAGGTCCTGAGTTCAGTTCCCAGCAACCACATAGTGGCTCACAACCATCTGTAATAAGATCTCATACCATCTTCTGACCTGCAGGTATAAATGCAAGCAGAACTCTGTACACATAATAAATTAATCTTCAAAAGGAAAAAAAAAAAAAAACCTCTGAAAAAAGGCCAGGGCCGGATGGTTTCAGTGCAGAAGTCTACCAGAACTTCAAAGAATAGCTAATACCTATACTCCTCAAAGTGTTCCACATAATAGAAATAGAACGAACATTAACAAACTCTTTTTATGAGGCTATAGTTACACTGATACTAAAACCACAAAAAGACTCAACCAAGAAAGACAATTACAGACCAATCTCACTCATGAACATAGATGCAAAAATACTCAATAAAATACTGGCAAACCGAATCAAAAAACACATCAAAAAAAAAATCATCCACCATGATCAAGTTGGCTTTATCCCACAGATGCAGAGATGGTTCAACATTCGAAAATCTATCAATGTAATCTACCATATAAACAAACTGAAAGAAGAAAAACACATGGTCATCTCATTAGAAATGGAAAAGCATTTGACAAAATCCAACACCCCTTCATGATAAAGGTCTTGGAGAGATCAGGAATACAAGGAATATATCTAAACATAATAAAAGCAACATACAGCAAGCCGACAGCCACCATCAAATTAAATGGTGAGAAACTCAAAGCGATTCCACTAGAATTAGGAACAAGGCAAGGCTGTCCACTCTCTCCATATCCATTCAATATAGTTCTTGAAGTTCTGGCTAGTGCAATAAGACAACAAAAAGAGATCAAGAGGATTCAAATTGGAAAGGGAGAAGTCAAATTTTGGCTATTTTCAGATGATATGATAGTATACATAAGTGACCCCCAAAAACTTTACCAGGGAACTTCTACAGCTGATAAATACCCTCAGTAAAACCATCCTGGGTGAGGTAACCCAGACAGACCCAGAAAGATGAACATGGATACTAGCTGTAAAGCAAAGGATAACGAGCCTATAGTTCATGACCCTAGAGAAGCTAAGTAACAAGGTGAACCCTAAGAAAAACATATATAGATTCCCCCCTGGGAAGGCAAAATAGATAGACAAGATCTCCTGACAAAATTGGGAGAATGGGTGTGCGGGGAGAAGGGAGGGTGGAAGAAAAGAAGGGAAGAAAGGGAGGGGAATAGAACTTGAGGGAACGGTATAGTAGAGGAGAGAAAAAAAGAGATATTTTGAGTGAGGGAGCTATTATGGGAATAGCAAGAAACCTGGCTGTAGAGAAATTTCCAGGAATCCACAAGGATGACCCCAGCAAAGACCCTAAGCAATAATGGAGAGGGTACCTGATGTGGGAGTGTTATATCAATCTGTTGATTTCATTGGTTAAGCAATAAAAAGAAACTGCTTGGCTGGCCCTCATAGGTTAAAACATAGGTGGGAGGAGTAAACAGAACAGAATGCTGGGAGGAAGAGGAAGTGAGCTCAGACTCGACAGCTCTCCTCTCGGGAGCAGACGCCTCAGAGAGATGCCATGCTCCGCTCTCCCAGGCACACGCGATGAAGCTCCGACCCAGGATGGACGTAGGCTAGAACCTCCTTGGTAAGCCACCTTGTGGGCTACACAGATGATCAGAAATGGGCTAGTCCAGGTGCGAGAGTTAGCCAAGAAGAGGCTAGATAGAAATGGGCCAAGCAGTGATTAAATGAATACAGTTTGTGTGTTGTTATTTCGGGCATAAGCTAGCCAGGCGGCCGGGGTGCTGAGGACGCAGCCCCGCCGCTCCTACTACTACAGGTACCCAAACTGACCTGTAGTCAGATTGATGACTATCTTAAATGTCACCATAGAACCTTCATCAATCAACTGATAGAAACAGAGGCAGAGACCTGCAGCAGAGCACTGGGCTGAGCTCCCAAAGTTCAGTTGAAGAGTGGGAGGAGGAAGAATATGAGCAAAGAGGTCAAGGCCATGATGGGGACACCCACTGAAACAGTCTACCTGAGCTAATGGGAGCTCACCAACTCCAGCCAGACAGGGAAGGAACCAGCATAGGAATAAACTAGATCCAGTTGTATGGCTGGAGCAGACTGCAGGGTCACTGGCAAGGGCACTAGGATTTATCCCTACTGCTTGTACTGTTTTTTTGCGAACCTATTCTCTTTGGATGGATACCTTGCTCAGCCTAAATATAGTAGGGAGGGCCTTGGACCTTCCTCAAAGCAATGTTCCCTACTCTCTCTGAGGATTGGATGGGGATGTGGGGGGACTAAGGTGAAGGGAATGGGAGGAGGGAGGGAGTGGGAACGGGGATTGGTATGTAAACTGAAAAAAGATAGTGTGTTTAAAAAAAAATAAAAGAAAGAAAAAGAAAAAGGGCTGGAAAGGTAAAAACCAGGCACAGCCCTGTGTCTGTAATCCTCACTCTAGGAGCACAGAGACAGGTAGAACTCTGCTCCAGACCATCTAGCTGAATCAGTAAAGGGACCCTACCTCAAAAAAATGTGGACAGTGATAGAGATAGACACTTGACACTGACCTGACATTTGCACACTCATGGAAACATATGCCACATACACACATACACACACACACAACCACACACACACATACATACACACACACAAAAAAAAAATTAACAAGGCTCAATTTCTTTATCCTATAGCAATCAACCCAAAGTGTAAATGCTATATACAGAGACCTCCCAACACACGGCTCCCATGCAAGTATCTGGAACACTTTGAAAGCTTACAGCCAGAGATTTCTTGATTCACTAAGATATTTTCCTTCATAAAATAAATGAAGTTGTGATCCAAGCTATATTCATAACACAGTTGGGGATATGTCTCATCAAGTAGAGTACCTACCTAGTATGCGTAAGACTGGGTTAAATTCTCAGTACCACAGAGGGAAAAATCTTTTAAACTACGCAAGGTAGCACATACCTCCAACCTCAACACTTGGGAGAACGAGGCAGGAGGATCAGGAGTTCTATGTCAGTCTCAGCTACATAGGAGTATGAGGCCAGCCTGAGTTACATAAAGCCCTGTCTCACAGCAAACAAACAAAAAACCCAAAATACAGCTGGGTCCCTGTATTTTGCGGAAGCCTTGGATGAGACTTACTGATTTGATAAAAAGATATTTAGGTAACGTCTTTAGAAATGAAATTTATTAAGGGATATTTTTATAGGGGTCAGAAGAGATGGCTCAGTAGTTAATTGTATATATTTCTCCTCCAGAGAACGCAAGTTCTTTGCCCAGAACCCACAATGGACTGAAGCCTCTGGCTATGGGGGCACCTGCACTTATGCATATAACCCAACCCCAATCACGTAATTAAAATAAACAGGTTTTATTTATTTATTTATTTTTTGCCGTGATGAAACATTTTTATTTTTGGTATGCCATTTAAACATTAACTTTTTTGGGGGGTGGGAATGGAGTGGGAGGAGGGGGAGGGAAATGGGAGGCGGGGAGGAGGCGGAAATTTTTTCAAAAAAAAAAATAAATAATAAAAAGAAGCTACACCTATAAAGTTTAAAAAAATAAACAGTTTTAAAATGTTTTTTATCATATATGAGAAACATAAATCAATATTAGACATCAAAAAGCAAGGTTTGATGACCAATATTTTATTTTATTTTGAGATAGTCTCATATCTACCAGGCTAGCCTTGAATTTCTGGGCATTCTCCTTCCATCTTATGTGTTCTGGGATTACAGGTCAAAACCATGTGACCAAACCCATACTACACAGAATTTCATAGCATTTCAACTTAATCAGCCCTGATTAGCACACTCAACCCAGCACTATACTAGCAATAGAACAAAGATACAACATCTGCCCTTAAGTATGAAAGAGACACATAATCATACAAAAAAGTGAAGTTAGTGCAATAAAACAAAGTGGGCGTGGCTTCACCCTTAGTCCCAGCACTTGGGAGTTAAAGGCAGATGGAATCTTGTGAGTTCCAGGTTAGCCAGTGCTAGAGCGATGCCTTGTTAACAACACACCAGGAGCTTGTAGAAACACTAATGTAGCACTCCTGAAACCTGAGCATGCACAAAAGTCGCCTAGAGATCTTATTCTAAATGAAAGACTCTAACTCAAAGTAAGAAGAGAGAACAGCCTGGACAGGAGGGAAAGACCAGATCACAGCTAACGGGAGAACATACTGTACAACAGTAACAGTCCACTAGATGTTTTAAATAAAGGAAATTCACAGTGTAGAAAGCAGGAATAGGAAAGTAACAAGGGAACTCAGATGACTGGAGGTTGTATATTAACCGAGGGAGGGGAAGCATCAGACTGCTAGGCTACAGACCTGAGCTGGTTGGGTTTTTGTCAAATTGACACAAGATAGAGTCACTGAAAAGATGGAACTTCTGCTGAGAAAATGCTTCCAAACCATTGGCTTTTAGGGTGGTCTGTGGGCATGATCTTGATTAATGACTGATGTGGAAGATCACAGCACACTAAAGGTCAGGTGGTCCTTAGTTATAGAAAAAACAAGCTGAGCAAGCCATGAAAAGCAAGCCAATAAGCATTGTTTTCCCATGGTCTCTGTCCTAGTTCCTGTCTTGAGTTCTTGCTTTGACTTCCCTCAGTGATAGACCATGACATGGAAGTGTAAGCCAAAAATATCTCTTTCTTCCACAAGTTGCTTTTTTTTTGGCCACTGTGTTTTATCACAGAACTAAAAATCGAGACCTGAGTGATAAACAGAGGGCCGTGCTATCAGTCACAGATGAGAGACAGAGGAGAACAGTTTCAGGGTTAGCAATAGACTTCAGCAAAAATATCTGTGGTAATCAAACTTGATCACAAGGTAAAAGAGTTAACAGCAAACTAGAAAATGGAGATTGATAATAAAGACTTTTTAAAAACCCTGAGCCAAATGAATGAATAAATGCCTACTAAAAAATGAAGGGAATAGTTTTCTTTTTGGTTTTTGGCTTTTTTTTGGGGGGGGGGATAGGAAGACCTATGTTTATCTACTGAAAAGACAGGACTGGTAGTGAAGCAAAGGATCGAATTCTAAGAGCAAGTTAAGACCACTGGTTGCCAAGGTGCTAGGGAAAAGCTAGGGTGTAAGGCTGCATTAGTATTAGCTCCTGCTGGAAGGCTTATGTAGGGCAGGTACAATATCATTGACAGAAGAAATGAGGTAAGGAGAGAACCAGGATCAGAGAATATATGCAAAGTACAATGATATATATGTATGAAAATGTCATAATGAAACCTATTTATACACTGTGGTGGTGTGAGTAGGTGTGCCCCCCCCCCCCCAGAATCATGTCTGAATGCTTAGCCCATAGGGAGTGGCATTATTAGGAGGAAGTATGTCACCGTCGGGGTGCGTTCTGAGGTCTTAGATGCTCAAGCTACACATAGTTGCTTCTACTACCTGCAGATCAAGATGGAGAACTCTCAGCTCCTCCAGCACCATGTCTGCCAGCAAGCCACCATGTCCCGTCATGATGAAAATGAACTACCTCTGAAACTGTAAGCCAGACCCAATTAAATGCTTTCCTTTATAAGAGTTACCATGGTCATGGTGTCTCTTCATAGCAATAGAAACCCTAAAAAGGCATACATTAAGAACATTAATGATATATTTTTAAAGACCAGAGGTAGCAGCTAGTAGTAAGGTTGATCACCCAAGTGTGATTTCTGCAACCCATGAAAAGGTTCCATGGTTTCTGCATCAGTTCCTGTCTCCAGGGTCCTGACTTGAGTTCCTGCTTGGGAGAGTGCTTGCCTAGTATGCATGAAGCCCTGAGTTTGATCCCTGGGAACACAACATGGTGGTGCATGTTGAAAATCCTAGTACTCCAGAAGTGGAAGGAGGAAGGTCAAAAGTTCAAGGCCATTCTCTGCTACACAACTTATTAAATGCTCACCTAGAATCCTTTAGTGGTAAACAAAAAATTAGTTTACCTCTGAAAGGTAAAAATGATAACAAATAAAGTGTTAAATTAATACATGGAAGGGGTTTCAATTTTCTATTAGAGAAAACGATATGGCAGAACAGCCACATAGGGTAGTCTCTTTGGGAAAATTCAGAAGGATGATGAGGTAGCAACAAAATCTGTAAGGTAAAGCTGAAGACAGTCATGGAAGCAGGCCACAAATTGGGCCATCCTTGAATGACTCAGCAGAACTCCGAAGGAATGGAAAAGCTGACCAGACCACACATAAAGATTAGTAGTAGCTGTGATAGGAAAGCAGGAAACTGTGGAAGCCTAACTCAGTTCACGGCGCTGGAAGAAAATAAAGCCACGCCACACCCACATATCCAGAGTTTGCTTAACCTAACTAATTTCTTATATTATAGAATCTTTCCTCTTTGACAGAGTACTACAACTATGAAGACTTACTTATCTAGCTTAAGATTATTTTCATTGGGTTTTTAAAAATAAAGTACTATGTCCATAGTAAAATGAAACCTCAATAATACATAAATGCATGAGGAAAATCACCTTTCAACAAACACTCACAAACAAACATTGTTAAAAATTCTCTTTCAGTTTTTTGTTTTGTTATTTTTCGTGGAATCCAAAATGATCTATAATCATTACATAGCTGAGGTTGGCCTTGAACTCCTGATACACTTGCCTCCTCTCTCTAAGTGCTGAGGTTATCGTGTGCTGCCAACACACCCAGCAACCACCGTACATTACACATGCTTCCTTCTTCTATGTGCATTTATAAAAACTTGGAATGATACTGTTTAACCATTATTTGTACATTCTGAATTATTAACCTGTTCTAGAAGGTATAAAATGAAAATGATATAAATTGTTAGCTAACATTCTGTTTTCAAAAATACAAATCAGTAGGAACTCTTTTACTTCATTTTTTTTTTTTTTTGAGACAGGGTTTCTCTGTGGGTTTTTTTTTTTTTTTTTTTTTTTTTTTTTGGAGCCTGTCCTGGAACTAGCTCTTGTAGACCAGGCTGGTTTACTTCATTTATAAAATTTGTAGCAGAAGACATTAAAGCCTATCAGTTAAATTGTTCTCCATCACGATCTACATCTTCAAATGCATGATATGCAGCACGCATAACACTGTTACATTCTGTTTCAATGAATACAGTTACTATAACTTCACTGAGATTAATACTTACCTGTTCTTGTAACTTCATTTTATTTTCTGTCATCTGTTCTATGAGTTTGCCAAGTTTCTTTAAAGATTTCAGGTCACTTCCCACTTCCTTTTCTATGAATGCAGACACATTCAGGGGAAGCTCATCGTTATCTCTACCTTGCATGGGTTTTTCGCTTCCAACAAGAGCTGCAATGTTCATGTCACCTACAGAAAGGAAAAGCAACTACTCACATCACTGTGTTACAGGAATTACAAAAGCATAAGCTGCATCAGCTCTTTCAAAAAAAATTGTTATGGGTGTGTGTGTGTGTGTGTGTGTGTGTGTGTGTGTGTGTGCGTGCACATATTTTGGTTTAGAGCTTTTGTTTTGAGATAGGGTCTCTGTAGCCCGGCAGGCCTTAAACTCTCTATACAGCTAGAAATGAATGTCTGATCCTCCTGACTCCACATTCCAAGTCTTTGCTGAAATTATAGGTGCCCCACTACACAGTATTATGCAGTTCTGGGTACTGAACCTAGAGAGCTGAGCGTGCTAAGCAAGCACTCTATCATATCTAAATGAAGATATGCCCAAATGAAAAATGTGTATGAGATACTGTTCAAATATTTATGTATAGAGTAACAGAATATACCAGACCAAGGCTAGCACTCCGGGGGCTGAAGGAGAACAAATACAAATTCAAGGCCAGGTTGAACTATATAGTAAACTGTGTCTCAAACCCCTACAAAAAAAAAATAACTTGATGTCCTAAGTTTGATGCCCAGAATGTACATGGTAGAAGACAGCTAACTCTCACAAGCTGTCCTCTGATCACCACACAACACCATAGCACACACGTGCCTATGTACACACACACACACTAAATAAAATGCAATAAAAAATTTTATTTATACAAAAGGAGGATCAGATCATTTGCAGCAAATGAGAAGCAAGAAACCACTGATAGGAGAAATAAAACAAGGCTAAGTCTTAACTTCCAAACTATAAATAAGTAATAATGTATGCCCCAATCTATAAAGGTTGAAAATGAGACTAAAATCATATTTCCTGGCTTTTAATTCAAAACTATTTTTATTCTCTTATCCATATATGAACAGCTATTTTTTCTGTATCTCAACTTTAATATTTGACATATGTTAGCCACAATAATAACTAATACATTAAAATATAATTATGTGTGGCTAGGGATGCGATTCAGTTGGTAAAATGATACCGAATGTGATGGCACCCGCCTGTAATGGAGTACTGGAGAAGTGGGGGGAGGAAGATGGGAAGTTCAGAGGCATCCGCAGCGACATAGCAAGTTTAAAACCAGCCTGGGATACATAAGACACATGCAACTGCAATCATGTCCTGACTGCTTAATATCTTCTTAAGAACTTTTCATAAATATAACAAATGAGTTGTACGGAGTATATTTGACAGAACTAGGTTTCTGTTTCCTGGGTGGTCAATTTAACCTTCACTTTAAACAACAAAAATTACAACCATATTTAAATATGGCATACTATATTCTTAAGCATATCTCCTTCAAAATTATAAATAAGGATTTTTTTATTATTTATTTATGTTTATTTGCTTTTGAGAAAGCTCTCGGATATCCCGAGCTGGTCTCAAATTTGCTTATCTAGTCAAGGATGACTTTGACTTTCAATTTCTAATCCTAGCATCCTCTTGGGTGCTAGGATTACCGGCATGCACCATACTTGGTTTTATTTTGGTTTCTTAAGGTAGGATCTATGGGCTGCAGAATAACTATTGTTGCTTTTACAGAAGACCAGGGTTTGATTCCCAGCACCCACACGACAGCTTAGAACCATCTTAACTTCAGTTCCCAGGGGTCTGAAGTCCTCTTCTGGCTTCTTCTGGCACCAGAGAAGCATATGGTGCACAGACATACATGCAAGCAAGACACCATAAAAATTAAAAATAAATCAATTTAAATTTTAAAAAGGAGTCTAGGCTTAATTATACTTCACAAATCTAAAAAATAAAGATCTAAAAACAAAAAGATAGGCTCTAAATCTGTGACCTAGACTGGTCTCCAAATCATGGCAATCCTCCTGCCTCAGTCTCCTAAGAAAAGGAATTTGAGACATCAGCCAGCACACCTGGCTCCTTTTATTTCTTATAAAGAGCATTCAGCATTGCACAGCAGATGATTGAGTCACTGGCTACACAACAAAGTCCTTAATGCAATAATTTGTACCTGACATTCTAAAATGACGGATCAGTTATGTCAAGGGTCAAGGCATCTGAGTGGGATTTTTCAAGACAGGGTTTCTCTGTGTAGCAGTTCTGGCTGTCCTGGAATTCACTTCTTAGATCAGGATGGTCTCAAACTCCACCTGCCTCTACTTCCTGAGTGCTGGAATTAAAGCAGTGTGCTACCACTGCCCGGCAGCTTTCAGAGATTTTATTTTCATGTATACAGGTGTTTTGACTTCATGTATGACTGTGTACCACATTCGTCCAATGAACACAGAGGCCAGACACGGGCCAGAAGCAGGCATTGGATCCCCTAGAACTATAGTTATAAGTAGTTGTTAGCCACCCTGTAGGTGCTGGGAATGGAACCCAGCTGGAAGAGCGGTGAATTCTCTTAACAACTAAGCCCATTTTCTGTTTGTTTGTTTGTTTGTTTGTTTGTGTGGTGGTGCCTAAGTTCAAATCCACGGCTGCCAAAGTGCTAGGCAAGAATTCTACCACTGTAATAAATACTTCCCAGACAATTTCTGCTTTTTTAAAAGGGTTTGTTCATTTAACTGATGTACACATAGGTTTGCTTCCTGAGCCCTACAAGGTGAGAACAGGGGATTTAAACTCCTGAAACTAAAGACTAAGCTGCCACCTGCATTCTGGGAACTGAACAAGATACTCTGTAAAAGCAGCAAGCACTCTGAAGCAACAAGCCATCTTTCCAGATCCAAGAAAAAGGGGGAGGGAGCTTAACAGTAGCCAATAGCAAGGTCAGAACTTCCTCCTAGGACACGGTGACATGGGCACCCTCAGTCTGCTTGTCAAGTCATTGAACTGAACTCTTAGCACACTAAAAAAGCTATTGCATGCTCTTTTGCTTCCTCTTAAAAAAAAAAAAAAGGAAAAAAGGTCCTGAAGAGATTGGGAATATGACACCTGGGAAACAGAGGCATGAGGGACAAAACCAGTCCCTAAGAGTACTGGATTTCTAATAACTTGCTATGCTTATCTCATTAAAGTAAAAGGATAAATATCCACATCTCTGACACGTTTCCTTGCCCTAATAGGAAATGAGCTATCAGATCTTTTCCTTATCCCCTATCCGGACCAAGATTTAGGACCTAAGTTGTGTTCTACCTGAAGTAAATTTCAATTACAAATTTACTGAAAGTAAAAGTATAATTAAGCAATTATCTAACCTCTTTCTTGAGCCCAGCAACAGTGACCCACATCACTCCCTCCAAATACCTGATATCAGGCTGCTGTGTCATTAAAATGACAGGCCCCAGTAAAGTCATACTTGACAGGACACTAGGTAGGAGTCTCAAGAGTGCTCTCTCTATATCTTACAATCTTTAAGAGACAAAAGTCCATGTGCAAAGATAACTAGTATTTATTACTATTAACACATTGTACAGAAGAAAATACTTCATTTAAAAGATAACAGGCTAAGAAACCTCTTTTGCAGAGCCTGAAAGAGTTTGCTGGGAAGGACAGCCAGGCAAAAAGAACTAAGGGTTTGAAGCCTGCTTACTTTTCTCCTCTGTGTTCTTCATTTCGTCACCGCTTTCGGGGCAGCACTGGCAGAAAAACAGGTGTGGCGAACAAGTTAGATTCAAGTGGAGTGCACACAGGGCTCCAAAAGGTCACCTACTGGAGAAGAGGTCCTAAGCGCGTATCCCAGCCACCTTCCCAGAAATCTGGACCACCTCGCCAGGCTCCCAACTACCCTGCCAGGACACTGAGTCCACCTTCCCGCCAACTCTCAAAACTGTCATCTTCCTGGAACACTCCACTGTGACTACTTCCCCGGGGGAGCCCCTTACTGCCTCGGACCGTGGGAACCATCTTCACAGGCTCCCAGGTTAACTTAGCGGGGATAATCCCCCTAGGGAGGTCTGTGCCACCTCACAGGGTCACCAGTGTCCCTTCCCCGGGTTTCCAGGGACACCTCACCGGGGCTGCCGACACCCTGCCTATCTCGCCAGCTGGAAGCATCCTGCCTCCGCGCGAGTCCTCGATTCCATTCGCCGCCAGCCTGGCTTACAGAGTCCGGTAAGGGCACCCACGGACGGGCAAAACAACCACATCAGCCTCCAGGGAGGCCAGACCGAGCGCCACCTCGGCTTCCTTTCGCCGTCTCTCTGGTTCCGTTCTCTCGGCTAGAGAGACCTATCTGCGTCGCCGCAGTCTGTTCCGTGGTGCCACCTCCTGGTTGACTGGTCACATCGACAGCTCATGGAACCCGGTGGCCCTACTACTTCCCAGCCCTGCAGAGGAAAGCATCCTCGCTGTGACAGAGCTCCCTCCACTTCTATGGAATTAATAAAAACAGAATTCAGCCCTCACTTGGTGACCCACACTTGTAATCCCACCATTTGGGAGGTAAGGAAGGCATGAGGATCAGAAGTTCAAAGTCAGCTCCAGCTACTGAGTTCAAAGATGCCCTTAAGTACATGAGATAATGGAACTTGAAAATAGTTCTCCTTCCATGCCATAGATTTTATGTGAATCTGTAAGTTTATTATAAATATCTAGACAATATCCTGATGTTCTGAAAATGAGAGTGAGCATGGTGGCCATAAAAGGCAAAGTAGGTTACTTGGTTTGGCATATATTTACCAATGAATGCCAGTATCTCGATATTTATTTAATATTGGTCAAATTGCATAGAGATGACCCTCTTATTTTCCAACTAGAGAGTCATTCTGGGAGCCAGATAGAAGAAAAGCACTCAAAAATCTAACATGCACTTTGCCTAGCAGAGGCCCCTAAGCCTCTACCATTTCCCAAGGAGGAGGAACTGGAGTTACTTAGAAGCAACAGCAGAGAATCTGGAAATCTGACAACCTCATTAGCAAATCCTGAAAGGCAATCCCTTTGAGATCAAAACAAATGGGGATCCAACAGGAGAAAATCTTTTTTTTTTTTTTGAGACAAGGTTTCTCTGTAGCTTTTGGTTCCTATCCTGGAACTAGCTCTTGTAGACCAGGCTGGCCTCGAACTCACAGAGATCCGCCTGCCTCTGCCTTCCAAGTGCTGGGATTAAAGGCGTGCACCACCACCGCCCAGCTCCAACAGGAGAAAATCTTTAGAGAAAACAGAAACTACTCAATGAGAAGAAAACTCACTGGTGCAGACATATAAGCAGACAAACACCTTTACACATAAAATGTAAGTAGACATAGAGCCAGGAGAGGTGGCAGGGGTGATGGTGCACATCTTTAGCCCAGCACTCAGAACGCGGAGGCAGGTGAATCTCTGTGTGTTCCACAGAGCCACATAATGAGACTATGTCTCAATAGAAAAAATAAATAAATATTAGGGTCTAAAGTGATGGTTTTAGCAATTCAGAGTACCAGCTGCTCTTCCAGAGAACCAAGATTCACTTCCTAATACTGAGAATTCAAGAACAATCGCAGTGGGTTTTTGATCCTACTGCACGTACTGGCTTTGTGGGAGCCTAGGCAGTTTGGATGCTCACCTTACGAGACCTGGATAGAGGTGGGCGGTCCTTGGGCTTCCCACAGGTCAGGGAACCCTGATTGCTCTTCAAGCAGATGAGGGAGGGGGACTTGATCCGGGGAGGGGGAGGGAAATGGGAAGCGGTTGCGGGGACGAGGCAGAAATCCTTAATAAATAAATAAATTAAAAAATAAAAAAAAAGATTCACTTCCTAGCACACCCAGCAGCTGACAACCGGCTGTAACTCCAATTCCAGGGGAATAATTTCTGGACTCCAGGTAGGAGGAACACACTTGATATACTGACAAAACAATCAGTTGTTTTAAAAAGTAAAAATAATAAAATAAATTTTAAAAAATCAAAAATTAAAATAAAGCTGGGCAATGGTGGCACATGCCTTTAATCCCAGTACTTGGGAGTTAGAGGTATTCAGATCTCTGTGAGTTTGAGCCCAACCTAGTCTACACAGTGATTTTAGGATGGCCGAGGTTACACAGAAAAACTCTGTCTTGAAAAGGCAAAAAATAAAATAAAATAAAGAGTCTGGGCTAAATTATGCCACATAGTTGTATTTGAATCTGCTGATGTAGGGTCATTATTAATTTACCACAGCCCAAGAGTATGTGATTGTACAAGAATTAGTGAAATGAGCCAGGCATGGTGCCACAAGCCTATAAATACAGTACTTGGGGGGCTGAGGGAGGAGGATCTTGAATTTGGGTCCAGCCTAAGCTATATGAGGGACCCTGGCCCCAGCAGATCTGGAGCCATAGCACAATCCCTGAGCACCCTGACTCTGAACCCAGAGCCAGGGAAAGAAACACACCAAGGATATGGAACCTGAGTCAGCAAAAGAAACACCTTATTCCCAAACCCAGAACTGGAGCAAAACACCCTGACCCTGAAACCAAAGAAACAACACTTGCTCCCTAGAATCAGAACCAGTTAAAGAAATATGCCCTGACCCTAAAATTAGAGCCAAAAGGCTAAAAAGGACCAGTGGAAGAAACAGTTTGTCCCTGAAATCAGAGCCATCTCTGCCCCTGACCAACTGAAACACAAATCCCAACTAAGCCTTGAGCAGGGAAGTAGCTCCCTCTGGTGTAGAGGTGTGACCTCCCCCTGACCTTAGCAGGAAGCAGTCTCCTTCAGCCAAGCAGGCACAACTGCCTCTGACCTTCCCCTGACCTTAACCCATGGGGAGGGTTAATGGGTACCACAACACACCACTGAGAGAGACCAGTCAGGAACAGGAAACACCTCACCCCCCCTACACACACACACACACACACACACACACACACACACACAGGGAGGGGCCTATCAGAAGCGAGTAAACAACTCCAGGAGTCCTCTGCAATTCCCCTAGACCTAAGGCAGCTAATCAACTCAGTCCGGATACCCCTAGTCAGAGCTTGAGTCAATCACCAATGTGTAGCTATGTAGTTTTGAAATCCCCCAAGGCCTTCACATCTTGCCTGGCCACTATAAAAACTGCCTCTCCACACTACTCAGGGCCTCCTCTGCTGCTGCTGCTGCTGCTGCTGCTGCTGGTAGTGGTGGTAGTGGTGGTGGTGCTGCTGCTGCTTTGGATGGAGAGAGAGGCCCCAGTTAACTCGTATTAAAAGACTCTGCTTTTGTGTTGGATTCAGTCTCGTGGTGATATTTTGGGTATCTGGACTTTGGCATAACAGTACACTGAGCACCTATCTCAAAAAAAAAAAGTGAATGAATAAATGAATGAAACAAGGACAAAGGAAAGAATTTAGGTAGGTAACTGAGATGCATAATAGAGGAAGGCAATACAAAACCCACATGTCTAAGCTAATTATATATGGCTGTGGTCATTGAATGAGAATGACCCCCACAGGCTCATATGTTCGAACACTTGGTCCCCAGTACATAGAACTGTTTGGGAAGAAGCAGGAGGTGTGGCCTTATTGGAGGAGGCATGTCAAAGGAAGCTAGCTTTGAGGTTTTAGAAGCCACACCATTCCTGATGTTCTCCACCTCAAACTTGTGGATCCAGATGTAAGTGCTCAGCTACTGCTCATATCTGCCTGCCGCCATACTCCCCATGAAGGTCATCATCATGTACTCATCCTCTGAAACTGTAAGCCCAATAAACTCTTCTTTTCTACAGGTTGCCTTGGAGATGGTGTCTCGTTATAGCAGTAGGAAAACAATTAAGACAATGATTCAATTAGTTGAATTTTCACATTAAATCCAAGTTTTAAGAAGAAGTCTTGAGTTGGAGAGATGCTGTGGGACAATCTGTGGAACAATCTTTGTACATTGTAAATAGGTATTGCTCTTATTGTTAATAAAAAGCTGACTGACCAATAGTTAGGCAGGATTTTCAGGGCAGAGAGAATGCTGGGAAGAAGGAAGGTAGAGTCAGAGGAGTCGCCAGCAAGATGGAAAGGGAGCAGGATATGCAGGAGAGGTAAAAGTCAAGAGCCTCGGGGCAGCACCTTAATTAATTTAAGTTGTAAGAGCAAGGTAGTAATAAGCCAGAGCTATCAATCAAGCATTTATAATTAATAATAAGTCTTTGAATGGTTATTTGGGAAGCAGCTGGCTGAACAGAGCTGATCATGGTCCCGATGAAAAACTCCACCGCCAGGGTTTCGTCAATACAATGTTCACTGTGCAAGCATGAGTTCAGATCTTAGTACTCGTGTAAAAAGTTAGACACAGCAGGTACCTGTAATACAAGCATTAGAAAGACAGCTTAAGAGCCTTAAGCTCTCTGGCCAATCAGTCTAGTCAAATAGATGAGCTCCAGGGTCATCGAAAAGCTTTCTCAAAAAGTAAGGTAAAGGGATGATCAAGATGGCTCAAAAGGAGAAGGCACTTGCCAAGCAAGCCTGACAACTTGACTTCTATTCCCAGAAACCATGTAAAGGTAGAAGGAGAGAACCAACCTCTACAGAATTGACCTCTGACCTCCACATGTAGGCATGCACACACATACACACATGTCATAAACACACAATGGTAAAAATAAGTAAGTTGGAAAGCAATAAAGGAAAACACCCAATACGGGCCTTCTGTCTCCTTGAACTTAAAAGTGAACAAAGTCTTAGTGACTTTCTTGTGATAAAACCAGCTTAAGGGAGAAAGGGTTAAAGATGGCTGACAGTTCAAGGATAGAGTCCATTATGGAAGGGAAGCTAAGAACCCTGGTCACCTCACACCCACAAGTGGAAACAGACAGCAATGAAAGGGTCATTAGAACTCCCAAGAAGGGGGCGGTGGTGGTGCACACCTTTAATCCCAGCACTTGGGAGGCAGAGGCAGGCGGATCTCTGTGAGTTCGAGGCCAGCCTGGTCTACAAGAGCGAGTTTCAGGACAGGCTCCAAAACTACAGAGAAACCCTGTCTGGAAAAACAAACAAACAAACAAACAAACAAAAAACAGAACTCCCAAGAAGGTCATGACCCACAGGTTGAGAGCCTCTGATTTACATGGTCCAGAATTCCAGCCAGAGAATGATGCTATTCATAGTATGTGGGTCTTTCCATTTCAATTAAATCAACCAGGATAATTCTACATAGGCATGGCCAGGAGCCTGTCTCCCAGGTAATTTTAGATTATGTCAAATTGACAAATAAGACAATCATCACATATGTGAACATAAACACAGAGATACAACAAACACA